CCTAAATGTCAAGTCAAGATCATCTACTAAGGGATAAAATGACGAATTATCTTGAGTGTTTGAATTATCCAAGTGAATTTTATAATGAAAACCCAACGTTTAAAAAGAAACATTTTCATATGACTACTGGATAGCTGCTAATCTGTGGCGCCTAGATGAACAGTTTGTATGACGGGCGTAGATGTCAGACTTGTTTTGGACTGATAAAAGAATAATACACGTTCCAAGGCGTGAGAATCGCACTTGGTACTGGTAGCTTCATACGCATAACACGGTTTATCTAATACCTGCAATTAGCTTTATCATGGTGGCATTTGTGTGTAGGACTGAACCATCTTGGCAGAGCTTGTTTGTCCACACCAACCCGCCGAAATCGCAAATGTTCGTAAATGATTATGCTCATCGTGCAACTTTACCACAAATGGCAATGTGTCATCCACGTGTGCAGGATTAAACAAGCATTCCACCGCTATAGCCGGGATCGTCACTGACGTGCAGAGGTGCGACTGAGAGTCTTTGAGACGCCGACATTATTGGATCAAATATCCTACTGGTTTTTGGTTGAGCGACCTGCCATCATACAGTGTGCCCACACTCTGCGGATTTTGACTGTATGATTTCGCTAATCCCCACACGCGGTTGCCTGCACGCACTCGCTTCGAATGTGGCTTACCAGTGGTGAACAACGTCTGGAGGGGAGTGGGTTGGCCTGTCGTCTATTGATGTGTAGTAAGGCGGGCTTTACACTGCTGCTTGTAGCACAGTTACAGTAGTAACTCTAAACCTATAAGGTTAAAGTACCCGAATGTCCATCGTAGATAATATCCTTGGGAAAGTTACGACCGAGGCCCATGACCGGTATAGAAAAGCACTGATTGATAGCGCGGAACTGCTCCGCTTTGTAACGGATTGTTCACAAGAAATTGGTCATCATCATGGCGTTTTTTACTTAATTCTTCAAAAGAACAACTACTTTTTAGTCACTTAATCATACAATCTGACTAAGTGATGCTCTTGTATTTTTGAGGAACCGAGGGGAGGAGTGTCTGCGCACAAAGTAGGCTCTAGACGTTGAGGTTAAGTCGTGAAACAAGTTAAGCCGAAAGATTTGTTTCTTGCTTTTAAGGGGAGACAGGATGATGCATGTACATGTAGGCGAAATCCGTTCCTCTTTGGAATTCACCCAAATTATCCCACCTGCGATTTGCATGATGAGGGATTAAACGAAAAAGCATTGATTAATTTGCGGGGTTTTATTCTACAAGCATTCTTAAACCATCTGGTTGAAATGCATTGGCCGGAAAAGGCATTTATTTTCCATTTTATGGAGGTGTTGTGCCTTAATTCTTTTTTTGAGACCAGAGTGTTCGTTGCCGACGTACACTGCCATGGCCCAGTGGAAGTGCAAAGGTGGCACCTTAATTGCTCACCTAGCCAAAACGAAGAGAACCAACTAGTTGATGTATTACAGAGGTTTTTTTTGGATAGGTTTTTTAGCTTTCTGGAAACCCCTTTTTTGCATCAAAACTGGTCCACATACGCAAATTTAAAAAAGCTAGGTGTACATTGTGATTTCTTGAGGTAGGCTTTTCAATGTTGAATTTTTCAACAGCTAGATGGAGTGGAAAGGAGTGTACTTTCCACTAAACACAAAGTGGTGCAAACAAGAGAACCTATACTTATTTCAGAGGTGGTAAGTCCTCCACTTCCCTGTTTGAGAGGCTCTTGAGCTACCTGTGATTGATCCTGCTTCTGTTATTTCGATTTTTAAGCACCAGTCATGGATGTGGTAGTTGTGATAAAGGCTGAATTTTAGATGAAATAAAAAGGGAAGTTAAATGTGACGCTCTTCACTTTCGACAGGATTTTTTGAATCCAAACTGGGCAGAATTGTTTGGTCACGGAATTGAGTGTCCATGCTAATAGAAGGAGTTTCCCATTTCGGGTTACGACTAACCCAAACAGTGGGATAAGAAGGTAGTTAGATCAAGCTTTTGGACTGAGTTACTTTTTTCTCGTATGAATTTATGAGGCGTGTAATTGAATTCCCTCTTTTCCATCCCTTTCTCTCCAACCTACGTAACGAGTTCACAATCTACTTTTACCGGGAATATCACAATTGGAAACGTTAAAGCAGATTTGGTTTTTAGTCTAGCAAAGTCATCTTATTTGCAGCTGCCTTTTATAAGTTACTTTGACTAATTCTACCAAATCTTGATTTTTATTAATTCATGCTAGTCATCGCCTCATACTAAAGAGCCGATCAATCATTGCCCAGGCTATCCTACAAAACCAACCCGAAATCGCTGCACTTGCATGATGCTTTAGTCCGATTCTCTTCCAAACCTTTCTGCAATCGATTTGCTAGGTGTGATTAAGTCTCCCGATTCCTAAGAGCAACACCATCATTAAGACGTTCAAAAGTTTCGTTTAAAATGTAATTTAATCTCTTCGAGAGGGCCACACTGCGGCTCTAAGCCCCGATCCTAGTGGGCAGTGATGAAGCGAAAGTGAATTGGCATACACTTTTCAATAAGTACTTTATTCCACTTACTTTTGACTGTTGGTAAAAATATGTCAATCGGGATTGTTGCGTATATTCCGATACATGGATTGAGCCATCAGATGTCAGATGGCAAATGGTCTCTTCGAATATTACTGTCCATTTTGTATTACATAACAGCAAAACCCTCTGAAATTTTAATTAGGTATGCTGGGATTTCAAACAATCCTTTCGAACTAACTCAAGTGCTTTCATGCCTTGGTATCATTTAAGAAATCAACCCTTATTTGAGGTAAATCAAAGATGAACGCTTCCTGTCTAACAATATAGCTGAAGGGTATTCGGTGCCGCCTTGTTTCTCATTCGTTTTGGTCGCTTATCAAAAGCTTACTGCCAACTTGCAGCTATAGCAGGGGGTACTAGCACAGGTGATAAAGGCATGGCTCCTGTGCGGTATCGGAATTGCTGAGACTGGGAGATCTATGCCGAAAAGTTTAACATTAACCCTTCTACCACGGTTCCCTAACTATCTCATTCTAGATGAAATCGAATTTTCAACATTTTACATCTGATCCACTAATGGTTCAGATTTGCAATTGCTACCATTGAACGGAGTAATCTGTTTATAGCCAGAACGAAGTAGTCCTGAAGGAAGAAGGCTTAATTTTTCGGCTTCTTTCATATTAGACGCTCGGCTCACTGAACCCGCCCCTGCCACCCGGCTGGAGTCTGCCTGTCGCGCCGCACGAGCTGATCGAGTACCTGTTCTGTGCGTGCGCCTTCTTCAACCTAATTCTCGCCTTTTTTTCCGACCGTCCTATTCCCCCACCCACCCTCTTCATCCGCCCTATCTGCGCCTCCGATGAACCCGATCTTGATCTGGCGGCAAGTGATGACAAGCCTGTGAAGAGTGGTGATGATGGGAAAAAGGATTCCAAGGCGTCCGAACTATCTCCGGTAAGTGTGAAAGTCGTGGTCGGCAAGGTGGAGAAAGTTTGAGTTAGAGGCCCTCATCGAAAAGTCGTCCAAATGGTGGATCATGGGGAAGGGCAGGGAATTCTGCAAAGCTAGTTCAGGTCAAAGGTTGACGTCTCAAGAAGTGGGAACTGATTATGTTTTTCTCCGCATAATCCTCTTCCTATATGTTCATACGCATATCACACTATCCAGTATCCTAGATCACAGCTTCGGCGTGGAAACATTTGTTCCTATGGCTGAGTCATCTTGAGAGAGCCTATCTGGCTGCACTAGGTTTTGATAATCGCAAATATTTTTAAATGATTGTACTCATTGTATAATTTTGCCACTGATGGCGATGTATCTTAGCTACCCAGGATTAGACAAGCATTCCACTACAACAACTGGGATCGTCACTAACGTGCAGAGGTAACGCCCGAGAGTGTTTAAGACGTCGACACCATTCAAGCAATTATCCTACTGCCGAATGTTTGAGCTATTTCCCACCACAAAAAGTGTATCTGCGGTCCTTTGCACAAGTGGCTTTACTACTTTGTTAATCATTACACGCTTTTACCCAAACACGCTCACTGGCCATATTGCCTGCCAATGGTGACCATTGACTGGAATGGAGTGGAGATTATTAGACTGCCTCACGGCATGTGTGGTGCCTGTTATTGTGTAGAAGGGTAGCTTTGATAGTTGATACTTCTTTTAACACGACCATGATGGTACCTATTAAAATCTAAAATGAAAGCAGCCGTTCAACTTTGCCACTCTCCGCATGGCCCTGTTTCTAAAACTGATGGCGTATGCCACAGTGAGGAAGCTATTTTAAGGAAGAAAGAAATCACTTTGATCCATTTTGACATTAGTGACATTCCTGGACTTGCGCCTAAAAACATATGAATGAGAAGTTCTTTTCAAAAGTAATTGGCTGTTTCGGTATCAAGAATCAGCTTATTATCTTTCCGATACACATTTCAGTCCACTCAAAGACGATGCTTTAAAGACGTTCAGCTGACAACAAGAAAATAAGTTTTATAAGCGGAGGCATTAATCAACTCCCACCAGCTACGGAACTATTATTTCCAAATACTCATTACTAACGTTTGCTTCGGTTTCCTCAAAAACCGGGTTATTTGGATTTCAAAAGGCCATTTTCTAATCCGTCACCAGTTTAACTGCTCGAAGTGTATACAAGGTTTATGGAGTCATGGCTTCATCTCTAGGTTTATCAATTCAATCCGTAAAGATAGTCCCGACTACCGAAAACTTCCTGTCGCATTCACTGCTGTCAAGAATATCATATTCTCTTGAAGCCTCTCATGCATCAATGCAGATTTCTGGTTCAAATGGAATGTTGCAAGGCATCACTGACGGAGATTACAGTGTGACGAACACGTGGTCCATTGATTGTGGCACATGTCACGCTTATCCGTCGAGACACACCCTTTCTACCTTCCCCTTTCATCCATCCCTTCCTCTCTTGGGTCCCTGATTTCGCACTCGCCCAGGTCTTGTGCGATTTCCCATTGTGATGGCAAAGAGCAGCAAAAGCTCTAAGAAAGGAAAAGGATCCAAAGGCAAGACCAAAGGCAGTAAAGACGCCGCCAAGAGCAAATCCAAAGGAAGTGGAAAAAAGGTGGTTGATGAGACTCCGCCCGTTGATGTCGCTGTGCAGACCTGCCCCAACAACTTCTGCTATCTATGCTGCTTCCAACTTCACGATGCAGCTGCTATTCAATCTCACGTCCTCCTCCTCTCCCACGCATCCCAAAATTTTGGTGATACCGATCTCAGCCACCTCTGTCGTCTCTGCCATGAACGAATTCCCCTAAAATGGGGTCCCACACACAAATGCTGCAGTTTAAAGACCTCATTCATCAGCCGTAACACGTCAGTTCCCGCTCTTAAAGGAGGGGCACCCTTCCAATGCCTCTTCTGCCGTGGAAAGCCTTTGAAATCCCGCAGCGACTTGGTGGTCCATCTCCTTGCTTTTCACCGACCTGACCGCCCAAGAGGGCAGTGCGGACTTTGTGACTTTCACTTTGAAGAACTGCCTCCATCACCACCGACTACGAAAATCCCACCGCCTTCACCGAACGCGGATTTGGAGACTGTTAAACAATATAGAATGGCCCTTAGAGACGCCGAACTTAGTGAGTTGCTCAAGTTGGAGTCTGCGGAATTGAAATTGGGAGAAATTAAGCTAGAAAAACACTGTGCTACCGACCATAACCCCGTTTATCGCATCGTCTCTCGCGAAGCCGTGCAAGAATACACGCATCTACGTGAACCCTACGCCTGCTTTCTTTGCCGCCGGACATACAAAAACAATTGGGATTTCCATGCCCATGTGCTCTGTCGTCATGGCCAGAAATCGGAGCTGAGAGGACGTCTTCTTACTTGTGCCATGTGTGGTGAGGCGAGTTCCTCCGAGGAGGGCTTTGACAAACACGTCCACACCAGACACGTCTTTGCTCCACAGTGTTTGGCAGATTATTGGACAAAAAATGAATTGTTACAGGAATATGTTTGCTGTGCTACCACGTGTGCTACATGTTGGGAGATCTACGAGGAGGATTTCGAGCTGCAAGCACATATCCTAGTAGCTCATACTGCACCACGATTCCTGCAGTGTGGATGGTGCAATACGGATTTTTCTGGTGGATTCGAGCCTCTGGACGGATTTCTGATCTTCCTTAACCATGAGCATAATCATGCAAGGGGTCTGCATGCCGCGGCTTTGGAGCTGCACATGACTGCGAAGGCGATGTCGCCGGCACTGCCGGATGATCTGTCAAAGGAGGCAGTGGAGGCGGCTTTGAGGGCTCTGGGAGGTGGAGGTGGGGACGAGGAGGTGAAGTCGGGGAAATCGAAGAGCAAGGATAAGTCAAAAAGCAAGGGCAGCAAGGATAAAGCGTCCAAATCAAAGAAAAATGACTCCTCCAAGGGAGGAAAAAGCAAGGGGAGCAAGAAGAAGAAGAAGTAAAGTGCATTGTTACATTTTCCATTATCGCCTCAGTCTCCCCATGTGGCTGTCTTCTTTTTTGCGGTGTTGTGTCACTGATGAAATAGATGCATCATTGATGCTTCCAAATGGTTTTGCTATAGACCCGAAATCCCTTTTGGGATGTTTGGTCCCGATTAGGGGTCGAAACGGTCTCCATTAATTAGGTTCATTCGAACTGGAGTTTCAGATATAAGGCAGTTGATGATTGAGCGATTAAAATTCATTTCAATGTTTAGCGGGGCTGTCAGCGTCGATTAAAACGTCGAAGTTTTTCAACTACCTACATAAGTTGCTTCAAATTCGTGGCTTCTTTTTCCAAATTTGAGGTCTAGGTTGCCAATTTTTAAACACCACGGTCTGAAGAAGTGTGATTTAGGAAAGTGTAAATGTTTTTTGACCCTACAGGGAACTCCAAATCTCTGAATAAATACATAGGATGCTTGCTGTGATGTTAGAAGATTTGGCATTAAAGTCAGGAACTTGAGAGAACTCGGGGTTGACGCATTTGTTTGGGTTCAAAATTCGGACTGTGAACTTCTAAAGACCTCTGTCTGAAAATTAATTGGGAACAGGACATTTTCTTTTGGATTTAACACGAATTATGTTTTAAAGCTTTCGAAATGTTCGACATCCCGCTTGTGGAATTTTTAATATAGGCTTTCAGATTAGCTTGGGTATCAGAACAACTTACGGAAGCCTTGGTTTATCTAAGGAAACTTTCCAGTGTCATACAAAATCCTACAGCAGCGGTTCAAAAGCGAACGTGACTGCTACCATTCTCTTGCTTCAAATTAATGTTTTCATTATCCTACTCGTTCAGTTTTGAAGTTCACTTGGTTGTTTTATTAAGGCTTCGGTCGAAAAATGAACTGAAAAAGTAGTCCGATATCTTTAGAAGAGTGGATTCCGAGTTTTGTAGGCTTGAGGGGGTTCTTGGTGGCACGTTAAAGAGACGGGAAGCTACACGCAGTGTTTTAGTTGAACTGGGATTGCAATCGAATAGCACCTTAGGGATCATCGCCAAGCTAAAATTCATCCACGAAATTAATTAGCTATTGAATCAGACCCCTTGGCATTATTTTAGCCGCCAACGGTTGGTTTACTTCTTTCCAAATTCACAGTTTTGCGGCTAGTAGTCCGATTCTGAAAACTAGGTTGTTAATTTCTAAAGCTTTCAAAACCCATAAGTCTATTAGGCAGTGAGAAATGTCTGCCATTGACTGGAACCTGAATTTCGGAGGGATTTCTGTCATCTCCCAGTGAGTAACAGAGAAGTAGGAGACTTTTCTGTTTTAGGTGAAAACCCAAAAGCGTTTTCAATCTCAGCTGAAAAGAGTACTGGCTAATCACGAGAAGTAGACACCTGGGCTTCTGTTCAGACATCGAATGCTACCGGTTAGGGTTCCGTTTTGCCTTTTTTTTGTGTTGTCACTGCCCCCTGGATCGATACTTCCTCGATTCAATTCCCTCAGCTTCGATTCGGAGAGGGGGAATTTATATGCCTTTCATCACTGAGATGATATGGTGATAAGAACGACTTATATTTGGGCTACCTGCACAAATTATACTATCTCTATGTTTCGATTGATATAGTCAGTGGACATAAGTAATCAGTAGTACTTGCCTTTGCAAATGAGTCATGAGGTTAATCTCTTTATTTTTGTTTTCTTTCCTCGTCTCCCTTTCAGACTCTCTGTCCGGAGAAATACGTCTCTTTTCCATCCAGAATCACATTCTTTTGGGTCACGAGGTAGGTGAATTCAATTGGGACGGCTTTTGTCTTGCTACCAGGGTTGTTTTTCAATCTTATTCAGCTTAATCTTGTCCTTCACAAGGCTTGCCTCTATTCCTGTTTCTGGTAAATGAGGGTACTATACACTGTTTTGGTTATATGTATATTATTTGTATTTCATTTTAAAGTACAAAAAGTGGACGGTACCTTCCACTCGGATCATAGGAAACTGTGATCAGGGAGGCTTTAACTCAGTATATTAAATGTCAACGTATTTTGCTTCTCATCCTCGGTCCTCTTATATCAAGCGCTAGCTAATAGCAAACATTGAATTGTGGTTTCTGAGTTCTCTAAAGATACTACAGGGTGTATCGATGTAAAAGTGGTTTCGTTGCAGTAATTTAGAAGGACTGTGTGCCCTCTGCGAGGAACCTTAATAATCCAACTTAGCTACTTGGAAAATTTCTGCTACACCTGGTAGAGTTCAATGGGATTCAGTTATTGCCAATGTACCGTGATTCGTCCATAAAAAATATGCTACCCCATTACTTGTGGCATCAGAGAACGGGAGAGAAAGAGTGAGGTCTATTCCAGCATATCTGAGTAATCTCTGCACTTCCCCAAGCCCTTTATGCATTTATAGAGGGCAGGTGGTAGCAGTGATTCCCTTGGAAGTGCCTCATCACGCGCCCTATTGTGCCATTTTGCGTCCACTCCTTTCTCCATAGGTTGATCATTCTGGGCTACCGGAAAACTCTGGAACTGTCGCATCTCTATATCCTGGAAGAGAAGCATCTCTCGGCTAGTATTGTACCTTCCTTTCTGCGCAACATCTGCAAATACCTCCATGTGGACATTGCTAACGATTTGGATACGTAAGTTGTCCGAATAAGGTGTGGGACGGCTCTCCCAAAGTCGTAGCCCTTCTCCCTTAAGATATTGTCAATACGGTGTCTTCGTAAGACATCATATTTCCTCGTCCTCGAGAGACAAGGTCTAGGACTGTTAAAATGTTATGCAAATGAGCTAGGACGAATTCTTCCATTTGCTGTCAAATATATACATTATTTTTACGGAATAATAAGCAAGGTTTTTAAGTGATGCACTTGTGCAGAATGGGCACAACTGAATGCTATTTAGTGTGACCTCCACCGGCCATTATACGGTTTTTAGAACGGTTAATGTTTATGTTTTCCAGGTAGCCTTTACCTATTTTGACGATGATCTCCTTGAAATTGGCCAATAGCAAGCTCTTGATACTGCAAGTAGAGCCTCGGTAACCATGCCAAAGATGGTACAGTTATGGTATTCCATGGGATTCACCTTTTGAGAGCTCGTGAGCTAAATGTTAGAGCCGTTCTTGATAGTCATTTCTGATTTGTGCAGTCCCATAAGGAGCAACGTCTCGGTAAATAATCTATGGCTTCCTTTAACAAAACCTCGCCATGGCTGACTCTACAACTTTGGACCTTTTTTCAATGTTCCTCATCGAGTTGTCCTCTTTTTCTTCAGTAATGCCTTCCAAAAAACACCTGATTCTTTTACCATAAAGGAGTAATCTTGAACAGATTTCAGTTCTTTCTCGGCATCAAAAACGAAAGACCTGGTGACCTTTGGGTTGATCTTTGTTGGTGTTCGTTCTCAAATGGTCGATAGGATTTGTGTTTTCATCCTCTTAGTCCTAATGAATACAGGATCTATCCTCGGTCAAGCAAAGACATAAGTTATGCAAATGTCTTTTTAGGAAGTTATCAAACGTCAATGCACCATGAAAAGACGGTCAATTCCTCATTTTCTGCATTTGTAATCATTTAAAGAGATCCTGTCTGAAGTAAAAGGGCAATCATAAATATCCACTTGAATTTGCTTCATAGGGAAGCAAACACGATATGCATTGTGGAGGTCTTTCCTGCTTCATTTTTTCACTTTCAACTGACTACCACGCCATTATCTATCAAGTTATGCTATTTACCATTTCCTTGCTGTACAGAAAAACGCATCTTTACTTTAAAACATCCTGTGTTTTATCGAGCCATAAGCTGCCCAAGCGTAACCTGAAGTTAGATTCCCATTCTTTCCGCCACTCAGGCATCTGTGCTAATTTTAAGTAAAAGGATTGATACATGGTGTGTTTTTTAACTTTCAAATTCGTTGCCTTGATTTTGCCTAAAGGGACGTAATATTCTGTCCATTCTTCATTGCCAAGTTTTTGTAGTTTTCTTTTTCCTTTCGCTTTGTTCGTCACTAGGATCTTCAGGGAACAATATATATATATATATATATATAGGTTCAAGGCTTTTGTAACATTTTTCGTAACAAGCCCTTCCTAAAAAGTTACATTCGCTTCCACTGTAGGTAGCTTTCAGTTCATACTTTTCATCCACTTTGGTTTCAGGTCATATCTTGAGCAAAGCTGAAGAACTGAGTTTCATGTCCTCGTCAGTCAAATACCAAATATCTCATCAAATATCAAAGTGAGGTAGTATAGTCTGTTTGAACTATAGTGTTTAGCAATTTCCACCTCAGGAGTCCGTAGGGTAAGATATCTTTTCCTTATGTTAATGGTTTGGGATCTCTGGACCTTACTCCATTCTAGTACTACAGACGGTTTCCTGCGGCAATCGTGCTGGATATAACCATTTTTTCACTGATTTGATTTACTTTAGTTAAAAATATGTTATGTGCTGTAGACATTAATGCGAAAATGCAGCTAGCAGACATGATTTCAAGGTTACCGCCTTGCCTAAAGTTGGTCCCACTGCCTTCTTGCACCACTGGTGAGACCCTTTTGCGGTTTGGAGAAACCAGCTAGCATTGGTCCTCTCGAAGTTTTGGTTGTTTTACCAATGATAAGCTGATATTTGGCAACTCTTGATAACTCGTTTGGATAATATTTGGCAAAATACATATCTGAATTACCGCTGGTACATAACCTTCTGCAATCAAATTTGCGCTAATGGAATCCTGCAGTTATCACCATCACATTGTCTTTTTAAGTTGGGACATGCCAACCTTAAGGGACTCTCAGTTCAATTGTAACTTCTCTAGTTTCCATTCAACCATGCAGTTGTACCTTCCTATTAAGTTACTTTCTTATTTTTTACCAATAATTTTTTCTGGGTCACAGTGTAACAATAAAACAGACGTGTTAGGAGGTGCAATTTGATGTTTCCATCAATGTGAAATGTTAGGGTAACTTCGTCACCTTTCCAACTTATCCACCATCCAAAGATGCATACGGAAGTTAATGGGCCTGTGAAAGTATTAGAGAATGGTTCCCGTACCTCCAAAATCAGCACACATAAGGATTTGGCAAATCTTGGCTTGAGACGTTCGCAGCTGTCTGTATTCCCCATCCCTTCTCTCAGTACTGGTGGAGTTCTTTTAATGGAGAAACTCACCTCAAATTTCTCGTGGTCACGGTGTTTCAGTGGTCTGAATTTCCGATTTATTTATGCTCCTACTACGTGTTTATAGACTTATTCCTAAGGTGACATTAATAAATTCAGGTCACAACGAAACTTTCCACCTTATTCCCCCTCACCCCCTCTCCTTGGATTATTTTAAAAAGAATAAACTCCACTTTTGTTGCAAATTCCAGACCTCACTTTGGCAACTCTGAAGTAGGAGTATCATCTTTCTGGTAACCATTAAAATTGAAAAAAGCACACTTTCTTTGAATCGCTTCTCTTCCGATAACCTGCTTGGCTGTTTCAACTAATCGGTTTCAGGAGCTTCTACCATGTATGCAGCCTTACCAGAGTAAAGGTCAACTGTACCATGGATAGGTAATGATCGTACGCTATTTGTGTGCAATTTCTTCCCCAATTACTTATACTAGGCCAAAATTGTGTAATGGCAGTAGAATTACGTTTACTTGTGTGGCCAAAACCAGGGCGCGAGTGGGGGGTATCGCTAGTTGAACGCTCTCGCTTGCGTCCCTGACCTTGCGCCCCTTTTTACCCGCGAAAGTTAGTTTCCTTTTTTTTATTGTTAATAACGTTATATTTATAAATAACAATTTCACCTTACACAACAAGACCCGTATGCACCATTCCGCAACTTCACCTCATTTCGAGCCTTCCGTCTTGCGCAATCTGTAGAAGCCAACCAAATATGATGTTGAAGACTGTGCACTATTTTGCTTGAAGAGGAACATGCAAATCTCAGCCACTTTTGAAGGAAAATCCTGAAATTCATTTCTCGTATTAACATAGAAAACAACTTTTTGATATTTTAACTTGCTGTTTAACAAAGCAATATTTGGAATGAAAAATGCATCTTTAAATGGATGTGAGGTCTCCCATCTACTTGTTGTTCACACTTTAGGGTGTTCCTTCCTTGATATCAAGGCATATATCCATAAACACGCATTTCATGTACAGACAAGCCATTTTGTTTTTTTGTGTTGATCCAACCAAGATTAATTTAGTCACACCATTCTCTGTCCGCAAACTCCGGCGTCATGCTTCGTGTGGAACTGTCTATTTGACAGCTCAACACCCACGTGACTACTCATTCAGCTTGTAGCGCCCCAAGTCCACTTCGAAGCTGTAATATGCCAAAGCATAAAAGACGTTACTAACGTACAGAGGAGCGTACATGCCTCGAAGGCCATACCACAGAGTGGAAGTACAATCTGCAGAGATTGAAGCGACCAGGTGGTAAAACACAGTTAAACCAACTATCAAATCGCCAAAACTGTTTTTTGTTCAAAAATACTGGGCATTAAGAATCCTCCCATCGAACGTTCTTCGGGTTAAATGTGCACACATGTAACCTCCTCAATAGCGGTATGGTGTCTGGGTCCTCTGACAAGAACTAATGTAATGTTTGGGCTTATTTGGTTCCAGATCCAGGTCGAAGATTTCCGTAAATACATTACAATCAGGTTTCCAACTTTTTGGAAGAATGCACTGTTGTAGATTTTATCATGTCTTTGAAAAAAGAGTGGCCAAAACTTTATCACACGCTCCGTAAGATGGTTGCAGGGTCAACCACCATTCAGATGGGAAATAGCCCCGCTCAAGCAATGCATGAGGATCAGGGATAACTTCAACTGTAAAAAGGTGCATTTATTTTGACAAACGTTTGTATTATTGGCGATTATCTTTACTTTTCATTTCATCCTACTTAGGGGGTCTGAAATGCCATATAACCCCTTTTCTCTTCCACGTGCACGTTATTTGGGCATGGATGAATAACGCCTGGTTCCATATTTTCAGCCTAGATCATTCCAAATTTGATACTGCTGTCCATGCTTCTATTCTTTTAACCATCTTGTGTTGTTTTATTGAAGTTATTTATCGAGGTGTTGTAACGTCTTCGTGAATAAAATAGACCCCATAGTTGTGTGAGAGTGATGGGATATGCCTGCCACAATGAATGCTACACTTGCACTTCGTACACAGCTCATATCCAAGATCGACTGGAAACAGAGGGACTGATCTTAAACAGGGGCGTTTGAAAAAGAGATTTCAAACCACAGGAATTATGATGCTACATTAGAGATAGTGCAGTGAGATTCCCCTGCCAAAAGTTACCTTTCGCATGGGTTAAAAGAGGGACGAAGTTCCGATAATGTTTAGCTTGTCTTCTTTTCTCCCTATGCTGCAGGCCTCACACCTCCAAACCCCAATTCGCTCTCTCCTGGCCAGCTCAAGAGACCAGTTTTACAGGCTCTGATGAGCAAAAACCGGCCACTGGTAACAGACTGGCCGAGAGTGATGCCGCCGCTAACCTGAATGACGGTTCAACCGACGCCCGAATATCCCTTTCTTTGGGACGACGGAGTACCTTCGCGGAGGTTAATCCGTTCAGTAGAACCCAGGTTGTGGGTGCGGATGGCCAAGAGAGTCGGCGTGAGTCCCAATCCGATGCAACTGGAGGAAAAGCCAAATTGCAGCGACCCCAGCGGACTATGTCAAGCGTGCCGGATATTGGGAAGAAAACACCGATTTCGAGTTGCAAGTTGTCTTTTACTACCCTTTTGCTACCGTGATAACCCAAATTCACATTACAGGACACTTGATGATCTAAAAGAGATTTGATGGCGGGAAAAGTGGTAAATTTAATGTGTTTGATTCCGACTTGATGGTTTTTGTCGTCCTTCTTTAACCTTGTCAGGGTTATTCAGATAATCAGGTCATTTTGGCAGCCTGCATTAGCATCCAGGCGGAGTTTTTTTTTCTTATGTCAAAGGATAAAAGAGGCGCGGTCTATTTTGAGGCTCACTTCTTTAGTTCACATCTTAAAATTCGCCTCCTTTTCAAATAAACAGTTATTATTAGAGTGAAAATTGTCAAAAAGCTGTTAAATTATTGTAGACTTCAAACTTGAACATTTTTACAGCTATGGGACTGGTCTGAAGCAAAATAAGGATGAATGTTTAATTAAATTGTTCAATTTTTTTAGGAGGAGTTTCATGTAATTCCCTTCTCTCCATTTTTTTCAGCCACCTCTATCCTGCCCAACATCAGAATCCGCTTCTCCGGGCGCCCCTCAAAGTTCAAACAGCCACCGTCAAAAAAGAGCTCCGCTTCTGGTGATCTGGAAGTCGGACTCTTTGGACAGGACAGGGTGAGTGACGACCTTTTCTTATGTTAGTTTCGTGAACGAACATTGTTCTCTTTGATACCTTGTTCCCAGTAAAGTCTATTTTTGCAGGCAAAATGATCCGAACATGAGTTGTTGCTTACCTTTGACAGTAAGCGATGTCTAATTGGCGTTCATTTATCCACCGGGGTTAGATAAAAGAACTCTGGCAAATATCATGAATAAGCGTTTGTGTCTTTCCATCCCATAAAAGAAGAAATGACTTTTTCCTTGTTTTGATTTATTCGTAAATGAGTGCTCAATAAATCACCTCTTATTTCGACATTGCAGTACGCCTCGTTACTGAATAGGACCTTCCGTGTCAAAGTGGAAGAAAATTGATACATTGAATTAAAATCTGACGTTCAAACAGACTTGTTTCAAGATGCTCATTCATCCCATCAAAGATCGAAACACCCAAGCGAAGATGTGGTCCATGTGCAGTTGCACCCTCTACTTCATTCTATCACTCCGTAATTAATAACGTGCACTTAATTATCCTTCTAAATCGAAGGGAATGCCATCCAGAAAGGTGAGGAACGAGATGCCCATCTGCTAACGCAAGCGTACTGCAAATATGATCAACGCTGGCAGCTTCATCATGGTACCCACAGGACATGATGGTCCCACGGTGTTCCACACTAACATCAATTAAGATTTCTTAAAGAGGCTTGAAAGACGATCCCCTACTCTCTTCTCCCACCTTTGGACAGATCGTCTTTGGGGAAGGCTTAACAGCCACAATTCGAACACCCTCAAATTACGAATGTGCTGTCCATATTTCTGGACTCCCAGTAAGTCTCTACAACCACATTGAAGTTGTTCACAGAGGCGTTTCAACATTTCCAGAAATGCCATGCCAGTGCTGCACTGGTAGCAACCTGATGTAACATGCCCAACACTGCTTACCACTCGACTGTTGCACGAAGGTTGAAAACGTCATTACCATGTTGCAAAGACACCTCACGCCTAAGTGAATTCACTGAACGCTGCGTGAACGACACTCCATGAAGGAGCTGAAACCTCGGTAATACCGAACGTGCAATTGTTTCACCTTTAAACAATTCTCTGTCGACCTTAAGGGTGGCACTCCACCAACGGATATGATGAGTGATCACTTGTGTCACTCGTCGCCTCGTTCTCTTCCCTTTGTTTCACGTCCTTAAGGTGATTGTGCTTCACCTAAAGTACCATCTGAGTGGGAACTGCTACCACTCTCAAACGGTAAATGATGTGTTTTCTGTCCACTCGTCAGCGCAAATCAGACAGGTCTGTCCAATGCATAACTGGTGGCCCTTTTCTGCATCTGGGCTACACCTCCCCACTCAGGCATTGTCTTCTGATGTAGTGCAGTGGTGTGGTGTGGTATGGTGTGGCATATGTGTGTGGGTGTGGGTGGGTGGGTGTGAATAGTGTAAAATCTTCCACAGATGCCGCCTGACCAGTCACTCGTTGCTTTGCTTCTGGTTTGCCCTCCAGTCGGTCTAATCCACCATGAACGCGTTCCACCTTTGAGGTGTCATCTATGGGCTCGAAAATGTGGAAGGAGATGCACTACTGATCAGCCACAGGTGAGAGCAGCAGATGTGAGTGGTTAATTCATTTACTCCCTTATGCATCCCAATGGTTGGCTGATGAAGGAAGGGAAGATTATGGGGTTGGGTCTTGGTTAAGGTAGGCAATGAGTGTTATAAGCACAAGAGGCCTTGATTTATTATCATTACGACTATAGCAATGCAATTGTCTAGTTTGGGCGGCAACGCACACGTAAAGTTGTCGTTTAGCATTCTCAAAAACATGCTTTCGAGAGCACAAATAAGACCACTCAGGCTCTGGTTCTGCAATCCACTTCTATACCACCTCCTTACTGCAATGCAATACCACTGCATTGGCGACAATGTGGTGAGATGGTCCTGACGCCACTTACCACCCACAAATGAGGAAAGAGACATGGCTCTGCCTCAAGGGCACCTTACACCCATTTGAATCATCGACACCGAGTACGTAATCGTGCCCATTGGACCACCCTTACAATTGACTTCAACAACGCATATGATTGGTGGTTATCCTGGTTCCTCTTTCCGTCCACCTCGTGAACGACTTTTGTTCCCTTCGCGGCCCAGCTGCACTTTCTTCAGCCTTCTGTCTCAAACCACCGTCGAACCACGAGTTGTCATTGTGATGTTCATTTGGATGTCCTTCTACTTGTGGAGGCGAATAAGTCAAGACAATGCAGGCCATATATCAGATAGGGTGTGCAGGTCTGTGCACCCTTTCACACAGTGGAAGGAAACAAAGCGCTTCTTTGTCTTTGTTACACCCTCCTACGAGGGTACTTTATTTTGTGGTGGGTGGGTGTGCATGCATCCTCCAATCTGGCCTCAAGTGCTGCTAGGTAGAGAGATGTTTCCCCTTTAACGTGTGACCCGTGACTAGTGGAATCTCGAATCCAACGGACCAATGATCGGATATTGAGGAAAAGGCATTAAACTTGGGTGGTAAATTCAATTGTTTACTTCAGGTGGTTATTGTTTCCAGGAGCAAAAGTAAAAGTACTCCGGACCAGTTGTGTAGAACTCTGATTCTGCTGATCGCATATAGAGTTCTTCGTAGCAGTGCGACGATCCGTGCTACATTGGTGACGGTGTAGTGAGACAGCCCTTACGATGATTTTTAACGGCTTTACCGGAATGACAAAAGCATTACAGAGTGTTATCTCAATGAAAGCTTGACACGACAAAATGATGTCAATGAGAAGGGAATTAAACGGAGGTTGGTTATGACACTAGAGCTGATTAAAGAGCAACCTGGACCAATTTAATTAAACCTCGTATAAAGGGAAAAACAGTTCTGTTAACCGCCAGCGTAGGTAGCCGCTTTGTAAGCAAGCCCATAAAATTCTTTATCTTTGAGAGCGATTCGTTATTACTAACGAAATTATCTTTAGATAATGGGAAATGGGATAAGTATTTAACAGAATCTAAAATTCCCAAAAAAGCCTAATACCAGTTCCTATCCCCATTACAGTAGCGCCTTGAATAATGGTTTTAAGCTGTCACATATGAACGATTCACGTTCACTCATGCAAGTTTTAGTTCGCAAAAGGTTCTCATCAAAGCACCTCCGTTTTTCAACAAATAGAATTCATACAATAAAAAAAATTAAAAAAGACAGCAAAATCGAATCCCAAATCACCCTCTCTCAGCGGCAACAAAAGAGTTTTGGTTTGTTTTGCTGTGCATCTTGAAAAAGGAGCAATGAATCACTGGGCTTAGAGAAACGGAAAGTAGATGACTTCTCTCCTGACGCTGACTTGTTTTATTTATGCAGCGAAACTCGTCCAGTTCACTTCCAATACTCTATAGTTCTATCTCAGTCCAAAAAATGGGTGCTTGTTCCGTCTGAAAAATGGCTGTCTGAGGAGGCGATTCACCATGATTTGGAGATAAAAGTAGACAGAGTAAATATTTATGGGCTTGGGGACTCCAATTTACATTAGTCAAGTTGAAGGGTAGACTTTACTGCATCTACACCTACTTTTCTAATAAAAGATGATGAATGGGTATTTTTGTGGTTTACCTTCGCTGACTTTCTTGTTTAGCGATGAGCCTACATCCTAATGTATTACGGAATTGCAATTCAACTATGAATAGTCCATAAATATTACCTTAGGATAAAAAAGTACTGCAGCACCTAAATTCAAAGTTGGATCCATGTGCTTTGCTTTACCAGGACGACTTGTGATTGGTTTTTCCCTTATAGCAACACATTACCTCTCCAGATACAAAGTATCTGAATTTGGGTTTGGTTCATTGTAATTCATGCGGTTGTTTACTCACCTGCACCGCAAAACATACACATTCGTTAATCTACGTCTATAAGGCTCTTTGTTGCGTTTTCTACAATTTTTCTCTCCTTTCAAAGCACTTCGCATATCATCAGTTAAACTTGAGAGATATGGTTCGAGGTTGTCTACTTTTCAAAGAGGGTTTAATTCGGTTCCAGAGCTCTGTGGTTGTAAAAGCTTCTCGTTAAATTGGTTGTATAGCAAATGGAGGTGCGGCAGCGGAATACACCAGGCTGGTGATGAACTACTCGAAGGTAGATGAAATGCATTCCGTAGGACTTTTTGGTCTTCGTTAAGAAATAAAGTCATGCAAGAGCAGCATATCAAGAAGGACTTTCAATAGTGTTTTATGTTGGCAATTGAAAAATCGCTTAACACCTACATCAACCGAGGGCGAAGGGGGGAATTCGCGGAAGTCGCTTAGCTCCTGGGTCCCGTCCGCATACATTAGCATGTCAATGAACTTCACAACATTAATTTTCCACTTCTTTTAAATGATGCAAGCGAACTATTTGAGAATCGACCTTAAATGAATTTACGATGAGAAATAGTTCTCCTATTCTAGCAGCCGAACGTGTCATTGTTAGTCCAGACGATCCACCCCACAATTACACATTGTATGGGCCTATGAGACGTTTACCGGAGAAAGCTACTATTCACTGCTTTTGCTCGTCATGCGTTCCTCAAAAAAAGGAGGAGCCTTGAGGAAAGGAACGGCTTTTATTCAACTGGATGGCCTAAATCAATACCACTTGTTCATAAACGAAACCCTTTCGATGCAACTTTGTTCTGACACGATAGAAATGCATGTGATACACGACCAAGACAGTGTGATGATGATGGTACGGAGACAGCTACAGTTGGTGGAAGCGGACACGTCCGTCCCAAGCTACACTTATAATAAAAACGTTCGCATACGCATATATGTGTGCGTGTATCGTACTACCATTTAAAACGGTCTAATTGCTGAGAGGATGAGTTGGAAAATCGTTATCCAAAATTAACCGACTTCATCAACAAAAAAGTAGATTAAGCGTTTATCAAGGAGACAAGGAACTACTTTTAATTTTTTTAGTTTCAATTAATCCTACTATCTCATAATTCAATAAGCACAAATATTTTCAAATTCAGCAAGTTAGCTCGCCCTGGACAGCAGCGTCAACAACGAGGTGAAATAGACTGCTCCCGAATGGTTCAGCCTTACGTACAAGTCGTTCTAGGGTAAAGTTGCTTTCTGCACGTAGGGCACATACTGAGATACGTGTATAAAATTAAAAGTGAATAGAACTCTTAGCCCTGAAAATTAAAAATTTTCTTCTACACACTCAAAATCAACGGCTTTGACTTAAACGCCTTGTGTACAAGAAGCGTGATAGGGGACACTTACTTTTGTAGCGCAGGTTCAGAGTCTGATCCCCAGGCGAGAGTGCCATTTTCGATTACCGCTGCTACACCTGGGGTGTCTTCATGGCTCACTGCAACAGGATCCAGCTCCGTGTTTACCAGAAACTTGGTCACTCGACGCACCGACACGTAGGCCTTCAAGGGAGGGTGAGAGGAAGAAGTAAACTAATCCATTTTTCTGAAAGGACCATTCTTTGCACAAGGGTCACATTTGTTGTCACTGTCGCCTGCCGTGTTGGTTAACGGTGTCCGAACTGGCCAGCTATTACGATGGATGACAGGACAGCGGTGCCACGTTAGTATACTATTTCACACTTGTAAAATTGAAAGTCAATTTGACTTGAACGCTTCCCATACACTCGAACGAATTCCTGTTCCTACACTACCAAATTCTTTCTTTAAATATCATGAGATGTGTAGTCTCCTCATAAGAAAAGACTGAAAGGACTTCATCGGATGCTTCTTTGAGTAAAGTATCACTAAGTTGTGCAGTGTTCACCGTTTCTTTCCCCTATATGACAGCACTATTTGGCTCAAATGGACCAAATTTTATTTGAAAATGCGCGAAAAACCGGGAGCACCAATGGCGTCCAATGTGTTGGAAGCGGGGAAGGGACTAAGTAATATGTTAGCATTCGTCTCGAATGGGATGAAATGCTGCATAATCATTGGAATTACAGCCACCCAGACAATTAAAGTGTTGGGTCATACATAAAACATGCGTTTTATGATGGTGTTAGAGAGTAAGTGGAACGTTACATGCTATTTGCGCCAACACAGCAGACCGTTAGTACCATTTAAAAATAGTCGCTTTAAATTACTACTAGAAAGTAAATTAAAAAATTATTAATAAGACGTTCTGTGGACAGGTGCTACAAGTTCTAGACTGAGACATAGTCTAGGTAACGTTAGTCTTGATTGCGGTGGATATTAACTGCTTTCAGCTAGCACCTGCAGAAATATTGCGTAGAAAAAGATTACAAGTGTATGTTATTGTTATTAGCCAAATAATGGCGTGACAGCTAACATTACAGCTCTTTGTAAGGCCAAAAACTACCTGATGAGCACCATGTGAGAAGAATATTCCAGCTTTTGTGATTTTATATAAGCGCAAGTGTTTGAAAAATCTCGAGCTGTGGTATTTTACTTGAAAGCTTTAAAGTCGAGGTGTCACAGATGATTAGAACCGTTTAGTATGGGGACTTGTATGCAGAATCGAGGATGACCAGGAAACCTATCGTCGAATAGCGCTAAAGGGGGGAGGGCAAGTGATCTGTCGTGCACTTTTCGTAAGCAGAACCTGCAGCGGTAACATGAAATCATCTCTTCCAGCATTCGGTCCCAGTATGAGGAGGAAGTTTTATCTCCTAAAGGCGCCTCAAAGTTTGAAAGTGGCCATACTGATGCAACGGGTTCGGAGAGCTCCGTAAGTCAAACCGACTAGGGCTGTGACGGCTAAAAGTGATTTCATTCTCTCTCAAAAGAATAGACTTTCACCTTCATCCAATGGCAGAAAAAAAACAGTAAGTAGCGGATACAATTAATCAGAAAGTGAAATTAGGGCTTCGAAAGTTGAAGAAAACAACCCACTTTATCAAAATTCACTCCTCTTTCAACTGACGGTATTGACTTATTCGAATTGGAGCTGGATTCTAAAGACGTAGGCTCATTTTAGTAGTGTACATGGGAGTAAGGGGTTACGAAAGATTTACGTGCATCTAAACCTAACTAGCAAATTAGGAAAAAAATTGTCAAGTGCAAAGCCTGGATGCACGCTTAAAGAGAGGCCATTTCCTTCCACAATTGTGAATCTTTCGCAATTCCTCGTGGGTGTCGCTGTAGTCAGCTGGAGGTCAGAAGCACTCTGCATTCCTCACAACAATCGCTCTCCATTTTTGATGCCAAGGTATTGTGGTAACCGCTGCGTCAAATGCACCGTTATCGACTCAAAGGTACCATACGCGGATATTCAATAAACGTTGTGCTTAAACGATGCAGAAGATTCAAAAAAGACCACGAGTTTTTCGATAACTGCGCAAATCTGAGAGGCGTACTGGTAGGGATAAAACTGGGGATATGGGCGATATTATTACTGCGCTAGCTGCCAGCGACACACGTATGCAACACCAGGAACCCAGCACCACAAGTATTTGACATGACCTCCTTATTGGTTAACGATAGCTGGAGTTGTAGGGAAACACATGTAAAGACAAATTTTCTCAGTTTAAAACAATAAAACTGGTGTAAGATGTCCTTGGTCTCAAAACAATTGCACTTCTTCTAGTTTTTGAGCAGTACTTAAAGAGGAGAAATCGGTATTGCAAGCCTTAGTATCCCATTAGAGCAATTAAACATCTGGGCCATAACGGCAGGGTTTGTTTTGTGAACCTGGTAGAGAGAGTGCTAAGCTGGCTGTTTAATTAGCTTGGTATCACAGACATGAATCTGAGTCTTGAAGCTTCGTTTGATTCTACTAGACAAATTTCACGGTTATTCACGAGAAATCCCCTTTGAGTACCACTGCTGATCATCCTCCCCTTCAAGGTTTACTGATCGATGGAATATTAAAATTCATAGCGCTAGTTATGAACTACAAGTGGAGTGGTCCATAACCTCATATTTCAACTACCTGCGATTACCAAGCCTATGTGAAGCAGTGTAAAAGACTGTCCTTAGTAAATGTTCTCCCTCTTATAAGATCTGTAGATTTTAAAGCTCTCTGAAGCATGCCAGAAGAGGATGGATTCGTGAGTCGTTCCACGTGTGCAAAAGGCTTCGAGAGCAGGTTCATGGGAATTCTAAAAGATAGTCAACACCAACCATCCTATCAACAATTCCATCCGGAGCTAATTCTTTTGCTCTACTCCTAACATGACTCGAAGTATGAATCCGCATTTTGTCAACCAGAACAATGCTCCACAAAAGATTTCCACCTTTTTGACCATAGCCGATCTAGTAGCGGATGTACTTTGGAACGTCCACACTCATACACTTTTGCCAAGCACTCAAGCATACGCTTTGCTAAACTCAAGAGCATTGTCAATCGTAGTACTCGTATTCGAGTTTCCAAATCGGTTTCAAGAATTTTGCCATTCTTCGTAGTCCTGACTCCAGCTGACACAATATCCGTGGCACTATGCATCCATTGTCTCTCACAAAGAAAGAACCTATGAGAAGATAATCCTTTGCTCATTCTGAGCACACATACTGACAGAAGTGAATATGTGCACATAGCAGCCTCCATCTGTCCATAATCTTCAACGTGGGAAAGGACGCTATTCACTCATTTTCAGTGCAATCATTTACAAGTCGTTGACATCATTTATCCCAGAGCTGCAACTCCTATGCCGCCAAATTAGAAGTAGTTCCACGATATGCTCACATCTCCCTGGCCTCACCACGTCAAAAACAGAAGAATATTTGTGCATTTTTCAAAGATAAACATAAACAATTCAAAAATATGAAAATGAGTATAAGAAAAACACCTGCCAAATAGAGATTTGGTCAAGAGGTGTCCAATAAAAAGTATGTTCTGGTTTTCTGACTCCACCTATATTCCTACCGCTCGCCCTTATTTTTTACATTTACTCTGGAAAGTAATAGTTGAAAAGGCCATGATACGCCAACTCAAGGAGAGACTAACCTGAACGAGGTTTGAGAGGAGAGTGGGAAACATGAAGAGGGGAAAGCGGAGAATATTCAGCAGGGAGAGTGAAACGAAGGCTTTTTCAGCAGTAAAGAAGTTTTCCGGTGAGGATAGAATGTAAGTGGCGAAGGTTGCTAGGGCGACCTAGGAAAGGGATAGAGAGGAAATGTATTAAATGAAATTTTCTTTTAAAAACAATGCCGCTCCGCTTGAAGTAATGGGATAAAAAAGAAATTGACAAATAGAGTTTAACCTAACCAAGGGAATGCATCTACTCATGCCTTTGTGTAGGTAAAACAAAGGCGCTCGTAAAGAAGGGAGTTGCCATGACTAAGGCGTATCTGCCTCGGCCATGATAAACGAGCTATTTCTACCCCTTAAAAAATGAGCAGAAAAAGCGGCAGTAGACATTTCTCAGTCAAAAAATAATGGATACATTTGCGAGCACACTATGAATAGAAAGCCGGAAAAAGTCATCAACACGCATTATTTGCTCATCATTGCAATTTCGCGTGGTAGAGCGAAAAACCGGTTTTGCTTTTAAGCTTCTATGAGTTGGCCTCCACAAACGTGAAAGAGATCTACTGCTCGTTGATCGTCTTTTCTTGCCAAATGTGATCCATAACGCAGACGTGGATGGAATTAAAGGCACAGTGAAATTTAAACGAAAATTCAAGGGATCACTCGATGCCTTGTAGTTGATCTAAACTCAATCGGCATACTACGTGCACTTACGGCAGAAGGTCGTCCAGATTTACGCAAAAACCTCGCAAGCAAATATCATCAATGCTACTTGCCGAGAGACATCACTAAAATTGGATTCGAAAAACTTATTATCGGGATGAAAATCATTGCACCATAACAGTACAGTACTACCGAGGCCCTTTCAGTCTCTAGAACGGTTCAGTCTCCACGCCTGTGACATGCAGCTCTAACACCTCCTCCGGAAATTCATCATAATGTACACATAGACTCCAATGAATTAATGCATAAGTATCTAGTTACTGTTGCCCCCAGTGAAGGCGCAGAAGGGTCACAAAACCTCTGACAAGGAACCGCTTCTAATGCATGGGTGAAATTGCCCAAAAGAGCATATTGGAGCTACAATAAAGCCAAAAATATCATCAGGCTGGAAAATTAGGGAGGTGAAAATACCCTACAAACAAGACAGGTACCTGAGAAAGTGTACCAATCACCATTGTGTCACCATGTAACTATAAAATGAAGCGAAACTCCTGCGATAATGCTGCAATGTGTCGAACAATGTAGTTCAATTATAAATCAGTGCGTTTACTTAGATGACAGAAAGTGCGTCTACTGACTAGCTAGTGAATGGAATTGAGAACGCTCTCAGATATCCCCTTAAAGCCCATCTTCGCTGGAAGATTAAACACAAATTCAAGGATGTACAAATTTTCTTGGAGCAGTAGATGCTTCCTGAAGAGATTTCGCTAAAAAACCAAGTCAATAGATCGGACAGTGTTTTCTGCAAAAGAAGAGACGCCGACCAAACTGACCCGTGGTTATCGCTCCTCAAAAGACAGTTGCTTTAAAATACCGATAGCTAAGAGCCAAAGTCACAGTTCATGCAGTTCGAAACATCAATGAACAAGATTGTTCAGCGGATGATTTCACCTTCAAAAAACGAAATGACATTTTACTCATGAGACCAATTCTCATATATATGCATAGCTGCTCAGTCTAAAAAGGATGGGCTTATAAGTAAAATAACAAAGCAAAAGGCGAAAAAGGGAGAGATTTTGACAAAATATTGGCCAATGCATTCATGGTAATAAATATCACTAGCAGAAACGGTAGAGATGTTCTCAAAAGATAACTCATCGCTGAAAGCGTATCGACACGGGGAACGAAAGTTTAGACATTCTTTAATTTTCCACTTGAACAGAGAATGTTATCAGGAGAGCTGTCGCCCAAAAACTAATTTGCTTTTTTTAAAAAAACTTCTTTATCTGAATTTCCGTTCTTCAATTGCCAGTTTACGAAATGACATTCCAGCAGACGAATACATGCCTAAAAATGAGTCAGGTCTAATAAGCCGGTCTTATGTGCGAAAAGGCCTAAATACCTAATTAAGTTTGAAATGAGACTACGCCCTTCGACTATTTACCAATACAACGGCTGTCAACTGAAAAGGCTGGAAAAGGAAACTGTCGACTGGTGAGGATGCGAATGCTAATGAAGAAACTCCATTGTGGCAGACGACACCAATCTCGAGGATTCGGCAGCCACGCAAGAGACCTAAGCTGATAGGACCAGGCAAAACCCCCTGTACAATCAACGCTGTCCAATCCCCCAGAAGTCTAACAACTAAACGAGACGAAGATGAAGAGAATTTTGCCATGGTACTAACCAACGTGGGAATGCAGGTGAAGACGAAGGTGATGCTGCAATCGAGGTAGAGGAATTTTCTCAGGTATGAGAGCTCCTTTTCCCGAATCGATCCCACTTCCTGGATGAAGGAAGGTTCCCATGCGTAGAGCTTCAAGACCTTTAGAGTAAAAAACAGAGAAGATAGAAGTGGGCAGATACACTGTCACACTTTGAGTGTCCATAAAAATTCACCTCGAGGCCAATTGGTGTTGTTCGTTATTATGTGTATCGCTTCCTACTTAGTTTGGGGCTTTTGCTTTAAATTGCTTAGTGTTTTGAATTTTCTAAATTAAACGAGTTCAAAAAGTTGTATTACAGTAACGTAATCTGGAGCCAATACAACAAAGGCGCTTTCTCTGGCTTTATTCATTTCCGAACAAATTGCATCCGACTGACAACTCCCCCCAGTGGCGAGGGAGGATTGTGGGAGCCACATTTCCAGATGACTGCTATTGTGCCTACCTGTCTCAGGCTCAGGCACTTGATAAACACTTACTGAACCTAAGATGTAGGCAGATCCAACACTCAAATCCAGCTTTGTAGTTACATTTTAAACTGTCAAAAAAGTATCTTCGTATATCAATCCCTCAATTCTCCCTTCATTGGCTGTATTCGTGGTTGCAGTCAACTGGGAATTCGAAGTGCCCTACATCTGTCACAGCAGTGGCAACCTTTTGCAAAACTCTTTAAGCTAATCAAGGAAAACGGTGTCACAAGAGCATACAGCTCACTGTCACAACGTCTAGCATATGACAGAAAGCTGTTTCCCATTCGTGTAAAAGATTTTACTTAAGGGGGTGATGCCTTCTGCTAAAAAGTAAGTACGAACAGTTTGCCAGACAAAAGTAATCATGTGACACCGTCAGGTATAAAAACTCACTTCTCTTCAACATTGCGGGGAGACTATAAGTAGTTAAATGGGATATTCCAAATTTATGTTGCTTCATAGAGTGGTAATTATAATGGACTAAAAAATGCCAGATACCGAATAAATGAGGCCTAATTATACCGCACAAAGCGGTTACGTTATTCTTAGTAAAAAAGTCAACTCACTCTTATACCGTTGAGAATTTCACTGATCAGTTTGATGCGTTTGTCTGTGGTCTTCAATTGTTTTTCCTAGAGTCAATTAAAATATATGTGAATTTCTAGAAGGAGAAGCATTTGTCGTGTAGATCTCAAGCATTGGTTCACTCCCGACCATTAAGTGGGTAAAAATAAGTGGTGTAAAATTATTTCGGTAATTTTTGTATGATTCGAAGCACAGATGGAGATAAATGATTGCAAGTATTAATAAAGAATCAAAAGCGGCGAATATAAAGTCCAAATCCAATAACAAACTACGAGGTGTAAATGCTTTGAGGAATGAGGCCATAAGAGAAGTACCCAAATCCTTGTTTATCTAGATTAAGGAATGGCCAATAAAGATATGTAGAGCAAGCAATTGTAGGCAAAAAGTACGTAAGCTGAGGTCAGAATGTGTGGAGTGACTGGCCTGCCTTTATGATAACTCTTGTGTGGGAAAGATGTCACGAGAAGGTCAGAAGTCATCCACAAGTCGTGGAGTGCAATTAAGTAGTGGGGAGGGGGGGGGGGGGAGATGGGTATCTGTTGAACTTCTCTTCACGCCTACCGTCAAATCTCTACCTGACTTCTGGCTATAAACAATATTGTGTGGATCGGTTTCTACGGTTTGTACGTGAGCATACGTTGCGAAAAGAACTCCAAGGTATACTCATAAAATTACATAAAAGCGGAATTTTACATCTCAGAGCCATCAAAAGTTCACAGAAAGTAAAAGACAGAGATACCAGTTGTAGATTGCAGTGGGTGGACTAACTGTTCTCCGAAGAGTGAATAAATTGGTTAAATAAAAGTTTAAAACGCTGGAATGATGTTAAAAGCTGTTTAGCACCGGGCATGTCCAGAGTGAAAAAAATGGGCTGTTTATGAAAAAGTTTCCAATTTTGGCAGTTAATTTTGTTTGTTTTTGACAAAGTGGCGAACACGACGGTTTCAGTTGACATCATAAACCATGCCGGGCACTGTAATTATTGTGCATGTTGTATGGTGCCTGCTTATAAGCAAAAGTGAAACTAATGTAATACATTGTTTACTCGCTTTGGTTGCACTGGCGCTGAAGGGCACGTCTATTGTACTTCTGTCCAGCGACATGGTTTCCGGGCCATGCCGGTAGCTCCTCAGCCCTTCACGTCGATGGCATATATTCTGCCCTAGCACTTTGTCTTCTTTCGTCTTCAGTAAAGTTTCGAGGCGCTACACCAATCATTGTAGGTTTCAATGTTCGAAAGTACTTGTAAGAATCGAACAGTAAAACAGCATTTAAATCTTAAATTGCCGAAATTTTTGAAACAATTTTGACGTCTTAAAATTTATTTCCGGGGGTCGAATCCCTGACAACCCAGAACACCTCTCAATTTGTGCTTTCCGTTCATTCCTTCTTGGTTGGTCAATATGACGTGGAGACGCCGCATGTACCGGCATTCACTTTAATGTTGAGGCCATTCAAGAAGATGTAAATACATGAGGACGGTGACTGCTCGGCCATTCAGACTGCCGGCAGTAAGGACATCTAGTCTGGGAGTCTATCTCCTGGTTGAGAATGGCGACGCAGTTAATAAGATAAAATGGGCTCAAAAATGGGTAACGGTAAAAAACGAGCCTAACTGTTGGAAAAAGAAGGTACAAGAGGGGATAAGAGCAATCCGAATGAGTAGTCAGAATCCATCGTTAAGCCAGCATTCCTGAGGTCGAGGTAATCACGATAAGCATGGCAAATCGTTTCAGAGAGCACAAAATGCCAAGATTATATGAGTGCATTGTTATTCATTAAAACTGCAGTTTTAATATATTTTTCAAAAGCCGAGTCGAATTAAACTATCCCAGCAAAAATTGAACGATAGTCAAAAGAACGACAAAACATTAAAGCAGTTGAAGCGTTTGCAATCATGGACCACCCAGTGGAAGGAGCATTGGCTCAGCAGGATGAATATAAAACCACTTTTTTCCTACCTTATCCAAATTAAGTGGAGATGCTGACATAGAGATGTTAGCAACAAAATTTGAAGACAAATTCTGTCAAGGAATATTTGATGAAAAGTTGGGGGTCGAAATGGACTAATGAAAAATAGGATGGGAGGAATGATGACTCCTGCGATTTAAAAAGAAATAAAAGGGAGGAGTATTTGGTTACATTGCAGAATCTGAACGACACAACTATATACGCCCTAGCTGATGGGAAAGTGAGGAGAGGGAGAAGCAAACTACCTGCAGGACTTTGCTCTTCTTCGCCACCATGGTATTGATGGGTATCATGACGAGGAGGAGTGCGACTCCGGCAAGAACGGAGGGACCAAGCTCCTTCCAGAGCAGGTAGATTGCCACGGTGACTTGTAAGGGTCCCGACCAGAAGATGTGGAAGTTAAGCATGAGCATGAAGAATCGATACGCATCTAATGACATGAGATTGGTGATCTCACCCGTCGTTGACTCACAACGCGCTGCAGCGCTCAGCCGCAAGCTCTGTGAATAAGAAGACGCGAAATGAGGATACTAAAGGGACCGTTGAATAGCGGAAATATACCGCCCGGAAATAAGTCGGATAGACAATTTGACAATATCATAACCTCTTTTAAGTGGTAGAGGATTAAGAGAAGTGAAAGTGCTGCCTAATGTCCCTGGGTTATACAAGGCTTATTCGAGTAAAGCCGAGCCTCTCAGGTTTATCAAAGATGGAAAAGGAATAAACATCCCAATATGCGTGGGCTCAACTTGTCTCATGGCTTAACTAGTACTTGGGAAGCAGCTTCTGGGCGTAAAGTTCTTTTTTCAGTATGGTGTACCACCCTAAGCACCCTGTTTCACTATTTGGGAACCCACAGTGGGCTAACTTTCGGGAATTCCAGCTATTAATGAATCACAATTTGCCCCGTTCTCACAGAAAGACGCCTCGAGTAAGTTCATCACAGGATTAGGTGTTCCATGGCTGGGAGCGCCACGGCAACTACTGAAAACATCAGCAAGGTACAAGCGTACAGGCGGCCATCTTTGAAACGACACCACTTAAATTCCTCACTACGGCCGAGAACCCTTCTATGAGTTTGAAGCCTTCCGTGTGATTAGATACTTCCATATTCGGATTGTACCCCTTTGTTCATACAAAGGTGAATAATTACTAAGCTTTGTTTCACGCACTCACGTACCACCATTGTTGCTTGCCAAAGTGGACCAGTGGACTAGCCAACATATGCACCGGTTACTAGCACTAACGCAGACGCCGCTGACCACTGAGTATGGTATTAGCATGATAAATGCTAATTTTATGGGAAAACATCGTTAAGACGATAAGCTACTTCTGGTACGGCACTGTTGAGACATTTTAGAGGGGAAAAGATGTAACACTTGAGGACCGATTAAAGGCAATATTGAAGATGGTACCACACTTCTCCTTTACCTAACTCACAGCAAATCCCCAAAATCTTGCAGTATTTTTTTTAAATTGTCGGATTCGAATTGGCTGAGAAGAAAACAACTGCAATGTCAAGTGAGCAATTGAATGGATGGGAATAGAGAGGTAATTCAATTCGTTTCAAGCCAGCCAATTCATCTCATTATAGTATGAGATTTTACTACGTCACCACGTGACGCAATAAATGTACAGGAAGGGCGCATGGTTAGCACAACAATAGAAATTACACTTGACTCACTGTTCCTTTAATCTAAGTGAAGGTAGACAATTGAGACGGTTCCATTAAAAGATCTTTTTCTCAACTAAAGGGACGTCACTAACCAGCAATATGCAGTAGTTAAGACCCGGGGATAGATCTGGAACACGCTCTTGGGAATCAATGACCTTAGACAAGCTACTGTTAAGATATGTTTTGCGTCGAACCTGGGAAATTACTTCCCCCGTACTATTTAAACTCTTTAAACCACGGAATGGTAGAATGCAAATTGCTGCACCAAAAAAATCGCATCATTGAGGATTCAATTCATTGACGCTAGAAAAATAAAATTAACGTTTTAAAAGTGCTGTTCAGAGTACCTGTGAGGTTTTAAAGAAGAGTGGTCAATTTTACGTTCACACTCCTAATGAACGCTAATTAATGCCGAAACACGCCCTACCAAAATTAGTAGTATCTAGGCAAATGCGAAAATGAGTGAAATGGATCACCTTGCGTGCTTGGAGGATGATGTGGTGGAAGAAGACTGGACGCCGCTCTCAATTACCATTCTTTGTGGACTGGACAAAAAAACTGCATTTTTGTAAAGAACATTCTTTAACACATTTGCTCCCAATCTCAGAGGAAGAGCGACAGCCACAGCCCAGGCGGCTCATTGTTCCAATTTGACATTAATTGGTATTGGTGTTTGGATCTACCCAACGCAAATATCCTCAAACCAAGAATATCTTACATCTAATTTTATTGTACTGAACTCAACCTATCTGTCTGCAAAGCGATGTAGTCTTAATAGTTATCATAAAATTTATAAATAGCACATGCCTCATAACTGTGATAAGAAAATCGGGGCGTCACAAATACGTGACACTGTTGCGTAACCGTTAATCGCCAATCCGGGATTAACGATGAGAGGGCAGTGAATGGAGTAGGAAAGTGGGAGAAACGGAGGAATAAATTGAGCAAATTCCAAATTCTACATTCCAATAGGTAAAAAATAACTTATAATCGAGATTCAAAGGAAATCAGGGCCATAATTTCTTCGCAAAAAGACTTCCTAGCTGGATTTTTTCGTACAATCACTTGGCAATGCCCAAATTTCCCGGAGAATTTTCACGCAAAATAAAAACACTTTGATTGTGAAGAAACCAAATGAATTGGCATTCAAAATCCCTTAAATCCATTGCCTACGATTTTGCACAGGTCAAGCTGGTAGCAATTCGATGCACCACATTCTAATTCATTTCTCGGTAGCAGGTCAACTCTAATGCAGATTAGAGTGAGGAAGCCATTAATTGGTCAGTGAATGGAAAAAGCATACAATTTGTTTAATTTCCGAGTTGAAAAGTCCAAAGTCTCGAATCGCTCATTTTAACTTCTTAGGCGCTTCTCATCTAAGAAATTTTTTATTATGAAATAATTTCCAAGGATTTCTTTTTGCCATAAAAGTAATGCACTATTCTGGATGGCTTAAAACAAGCACCAAGGAAGTAGAATAAATAAATCCGTCCGGGTAAATGACGTTGACTTTGATTACGAAATGCCACGTGGTAGGGAAGAGACCTGAACCAAGACACAGACAATTAGTGAACTGGTAACCAAACTAGAGACGGATATAATGATTTCACTGGTTGTTTATTTAAAATGAATTGACAAAGGCTATGCACGCCAATAGCTCTCTACATTTGGTAGTGAAAAAAAGGGGTCTGAGAGGCATATCATTGAGGAAACTCCCAGCGATTCATGGTAAAGAACCAGTACTTCGTTGCAAATGTGACTCAATTTGATACTCAACAAACGGTAGAAAGCACAATTGTACCTCCGATGAAAAATTATTATGGTTTAAACAATTTCAAAAGTGATTTACCACTAGTTAAATTGATTCCTACACCGCCTTTATTGGGAGAAGACAGTAATAGGAGAAACTTTTGATTGAAGGTCACACACCTAATATTCCATGAACAGGTATTAGTCTTTGGTATAATCTTTAAGAGACCGAACAGTTCAACTATATTGCATTAATCTAAGTCCAACAGTCTTATTGAGAAGTGGGGGAAAGCTCAAGTAAGGAGAAGTGGATTCCAACCGTTTAGCCAAGCTTTGTTTCAAGCCCTCCATCTAGTCTTTATGAAATCTTTAAAGGGCACAACGTTGCCTTTACCAACGCTGAAAGTCATCCACAAATCAAACTACAATATTCAAAAAATATCTTCCACATAATCGGAAGGTGAAGTACAGACCGCCCGAGACGTTCAGTAACAAAGTGCTTGAGTGGTGATGGTAAACATTTCAACCAAATTCAATTGCAATGGCTGATTTCCATCTTTAACAGCAACTAATCATGAAAGAGATCTAAGTAGATCCACTTGAGAACACGTGTGAAATGAGGATCAACATGATTACTCATTAATTCAGCAACATTAGACTATTTGAAACAGTCAAAAAATGTAAGATATAAAACTTGATTTGCTGTAATAGCTATATAAAGAGATAACCATTAAGAGTAATCTCAACGAAGACTCCCACGTTTTTGCAAAGCAAAGAAATGCCAATGAAGAAACCATTATACCAACTTGCGGTCTAATAAGTCAACCCGCTACCCATTCCGAATCAAGAAATTCATATAAAATGCCTAAAAATTGGGATTTTCCCAACAATTTCTAAGCGAAACATAGAGGAAGAAAGAGTCTAACCCTCACCTTTCGATAGACAGCGGAGATGACGACAGTGCGCATATCCATGCCGACAAGAGTCTGCTTGCGAAAGTACTGATGCAACATGAGAGATTGTATAAAGGCGGTGAGGAACATCAAGAAGGCGTATACGTAGCCATGCCACATTGGTTCCGTCGATTCCGGCTGCAGGAAGTTCAGCAAGCGTCTGCAAGTAGACAGATAGTTGAGAAAATCCAGTAAGAATCAAACCGGTCCGAGACAGACGAATAGATGAGGAATGAGTAGACAAGGTAAAGATGGATGAAGAATAGAAATAGTGAATGGATAGATGAGAGTGGATGCGGGTAGAGATTTGAAGTAGAGAGATTAAGCAGAGGTGGATGGATGAAGGGTATATGAAATATAAACAGGTGGGCAAGTGAACCAGGGAAGACGAATTAATCGGGGGTAATAGGATCGAAGATAGATAGGCGAGTGGATAAATCGCGAACCCGTAAATAACAACTAGATGAATCTGACGAAGATAGACAGATAGATCAAGAAAGGATTGTTGGATGCGGGATGAAAGGGTTACAAAAATGGATGATTTGGTGATGAACAAAATCAACGTATATGGAGGAAGGGTGGAAGAGTTAGCGTGTCACGTCAACTCACACGTAACGGATAGATCTATAATAGGTGTTCGTCATCGGTCAATGGATAAGCAAATGGAGGACCTCTTGAAAGTTTATGTCGATATTTAGTAAAAGTAAAGATGTAAAAGAATCATTTCCAATGCAAAGCCGGCGAAAGATTCGATAGATTAGTCGAAATTAGCATCAATCCATAGATCTTAGCAATAGCCTTCCAGAGTACTTTATAAATGTTTTGTTTAAAAGTGACCCAAATAAGCAGTCGGAAAAAATGCCTTCAAATAACATTTTGGATATCAAACAAAATTGCGATTGAATGTCGGTTCAAGACTATTCCTGCTGAGCATTACAACTTTATTTAATCAAAAATTCTTCTTCACCAGCACAGCTGCCAAGATAGGTCCTTTCTTGAGTGAAACGGTAAGATAACGAGTGCTCTTGCGCTACGACCAAAAGGAAAACCCCGGCTTCGCAATCGAGGTGTATACCTTGATGATGAAATATGAAAAAGACACGAATATCATGCTACTGTTTAGCAAAATAACTTAAGGATTTCATTTGATGAACGCAACTTTGTAGAAAGACCAGCATGTCTACATCGACAAAACTAGATGGGAGCATCAGGTAAGGCACTGCTCACTAGGGTTCCAAAGACTGCTTCTATGGTTACATATTAGACAGCAGTGATAGTGGCAGTAATTAAACCAAACTTATATCACTTTTCCGATTTAGGAGCACAAAACACCAAGTGTTTAGCGAAAGATTGTATTTAAAGCACAATGATGTTTGAAAGAAAGTGTTTGCTTTCTGACGACCAGTGAGCCTTGATTAGCAATAGGGCAAGCTATTCAAGATTCCGAATTGACCAGAAAATAAGTTCAGTTAACTTGTCTTGTAAGGACTTAGAGTAGCCACAATGATTCAAAAAGGTGTAAATTTGGCATATTTTAAATTTTCCTCTAAATTTATCCGCTTCAACTGATTCTCCACCTTAGAAATTGAAAAGAGCCTTTGAGGTGTTAACATCTAGCAATCAACTTTAAAGGTATCAATTTAATTTGCTAGGGTGTCAACTATTAACAATATCATCCAATGACGTTTGAAATGGAGTGCCGATATGAAACAATACTAGTTTACAACCCCCTTCATTTATCGACCTAACGTAGCACTGCCCTTCCAGAAAAATCCAATCCCAAAAGGATCGAGCAATATTTTCCCCAGGAAAATAAGTAGCAGAACGAGCTGTAGGCTTATTTTCACCAGATCTGCTCTCACAATTCTTAGAGGACGCGTCTTCACACCATGGCGTTCTGCTGATCAGCCCTTATGTATAAAGATATGATACGGGTCATACCAGACCCAGATGTCTTTTGACATCTCCGAGGATGAATTTGAAACCACAAATTTTCTTATTAACTAAGGACAGAACCACATTTTTTCATAAGTATGCTTTGAGTTCTAGAAAAACAAATGACTCCTTACAATTACCACATTGCCAATGCGAACCCAGACAAGGGGAAGTGCGGCACTGCGTGATCAAATGTCTCTCTAGCAGACGTTCAGACTGGGCCCTAAATCAAAACTAACAAAGTGCACACAAATCGTTCAACCCGTCTGAGTTTAAGAGACTTGATGAACTCACTTCTCCCGCCCCCCACCCCCTCCTCCAACCCAATGATAGTCATGAGAGCAATCAGTTTCTACCGCTGGGGTGGGGTGAAGGGGTGTCCCATTCTTTCCGCCGAAGAAGGAACATCATGGGGCAAGGCGACAAATACATAAATCATTATTGACCGTAAAAGGTGAAAGCCCTTAACGTGGGAGATACCAAGCGGTCTTTATATTACCACGCTGGAGTTAACCCCTTGCTGTGGAATGAAGTTAACGATGTACGAAGTGTTCGGCATTCCCATAATACTGTAGATGAGAGGTTTGGTAATAATTGGTTTTGTTTAAATGTGTTACATCCGCCTACTTCTGACATGTTGACTGCTCTTCGTACAAGTTGTCCTCCTGGTGCGAAGAGGCCTGCAAAACTCGTACAGAGATTGTGCCGAATTCTGATGTTCCATTTTACGCTGCCTTTGTTGACATGTTGGGGGTAAAATTAGTGCAGAAAAACACCGCGTATGCTTCTGACGCCACTTTGGTGCCATGACTTTGTATTTATGTCAATCCTGTAAACAGCCTTTAGAAGGTTCTGTTCCGACTAATGGACTTTACAAACTCGTCAGAAGACATAGGAGTTAGGAGTTCAACGCCGTCGACAAACGGGTTCAGTGTAAAGAGCCCTCTTCTCGTCAAGTCACCAGCGTGGACTACATAGACGCGAGTCTAAAGTGCTCCAAATGTGCGTTCGGGAGGCCATGATGAATGAAAAGAGAATTCAAAAGTTAATATGTGAAAACCAACAAATAGGAAAGTAAGGACTTGTGTAAAATACAAATGCCACTGTTGCATCAATCCACATCCAGATACAGTGCAGGATGTGTGCCAAGTGGGGAGCCAGGGGAATGCCTGATCATAAGAAGGCAAAATTGTAATATGAACATGTAGAGAAATAGAAGCACTTGGTTTTGACGTAAACGTAGGTAGCCAGAGTTCGGCCTCCTCGATCGTTCCTTGCGCGAAATAAAGCAGGCTTCTGATATGCAACAGAATTTACTCCGGAGCGTATAAACACATAATTTGCTAGATAAAAGCTTTTTCCGTAGCATATGCTATCCCAAACAGGGAGCTGAAAATAACTGGAAGCTAAGAGCTGGAAGCGTCTTGGCTGCTAAGAGCTCAACCAGCTCCAACAACAGACACATTGATCCCTCGCCTTTAGTTTCATTTCACCCGCCCTCAGTAGGCTTGGTCTGAATTAGGGCCATTTTATTCCATCATAATAGGGTCAAATTAACAGTTTGACTCAACCAATTCATCTAATCATGTCTTGTAGAACTATGTGCTACATTAAGTGGAAAATAGTTAATATTCGCTATGGAAGTGTCAATTTTGGCCTCAAAAGGTCATCATGTGGTGATGTGGAGAAAACGCAGATCCGATTCTACAATTGAATCCGCATGATACTTAGAGGGTGGACAAACATAGCCCTTATGTTATTGAAGCTCAATGTTTATGGCAGGAAAGCCAACAAATTGTAACCAAAGCGGATCACATAGGTGATGAAATCATAAATGGACCCGCTGATGTTATGAGACACCGATTTCCCTATTAGCAAAACCTTACATTTAAAACTGAAATTCCTCAAGACTACCGCAGTCAATATTACGACCTTTGATATAAAATGAAGGGACACTGAAAACCGTTTTATACTTACTGTTGCAAGGGAAAAGCCTGAAAAAGAGACACTTCGTATCTGAAGGGGTCATGTGTCACAATGAAGGGAAAACAACTCAGTCACCCAGCTCCTAATTCAGATTGGCGTGACACCAGTGTGATGAGCGGCTACAGCCAGTAGACGACATCTGAACAGCAACTAAAGCATCTTTTTAAAAAGAATAAAGTAAATTCCTCTAATTGGGGGAAGAGGGAAGAAAGGAGGTGGAATCACATGTATATATGTAAAAGGAATCTCTCAAAGCCACTTAAGTAGTTCCTTCGCAGACGAAAAAAGAGGAATGCAATAAGAAGCTAGACAACGGATCTAACCGATAAGACAAATGGTTGATGCCTCGTTGCAAAATAAGAGGTGAATAACTACTTTCCAGGCAGAGATATGCATCAAGTAGTCAATGAAACAGCACACCTCATAAGTGAACCCTTGTAAAATGACGGTTCTACACATCAAGTTCAACAAGTTAACTGGATAGTTTTAATTCGCCCTTTCCAACTTTTACCTGAAAGCGAACCATATTTCCTTACAAAAATAAGTTCATTTTACGGTACAAGCGGCGAAAGGGCCACACCTCGGCTATTCAATCAAGACAGAGTGACAAGATGAAGAAGCTAATTGGACAGGTGGAGGATGCCATCGCCTGTTTCTCTTTTGACTGAGCAAAACATAAGAGAATGAGCTCCTCTATTGAGGCGGTACCGATAATTCTAAAATAGCCTTTAATTCCAAAACTGCAGGATCAGTTTTAGTCCATTCAGCCTTTCCCTTGTAGACGAAACATCATACAAATGAGGCAGTCTAGAAACTTGACAGTCCAAATTCATCAATTCATCACCAAGGCGATAAAAAGTATTCATTTCTTAAAAAGAAAAAAAGGGATTACTGTCCACATAGAAACGTACCAGACAATATTAAAAGAAGGGTTTTTACTTTAACTGACTCCTTTAGATAGGCCCCTCTACAAGAATTAAGTGTGGTGAACCTCTAGCCATTGAATTAAGCTAACAATCCGAAAGCAAAATTTTTAAACTTGATTGGAAGCCTAATCAGAACAAGATTATAGTTTGATTCAGCATTGCCAAAGAAAATGGCTCTTTCTTTTCACTGAGTCTTCCTCGTAAGTAGGTCCAACAGATTGGACCACATTCTTAATGCAGTAGAGTCAGCCTCCGCAAAAATCAGTGAATTCTTTCCAAGGTTCTCATGCACATTTTAATGGTGAAGGAGAGTAAATTGTTGCACCAGAAACAAAACGCGCACCTGTAAACGTTTCCTTTCGGGTCGCATAACTTGAACACCTTGACCTGCTCTCTATTTGTAAAATCATCAATTTTCATACGTAGTAATCACCATCAAAAACAGACACATCAAAATCCACCGCAATACTTTGAGTGTTTTTTTTTTAATTATTCGTTCCAATTTCCCGGGCACTTAGTGTCTCACTTTTGCCCCTCCACTGGGCCGCATGGCCTTCGGAGCATGCCGGTAGCTCCCACCTCTAGCCCTCCTGTAGGGCGATAGTACATATTCTCCCCTAGTGTTATGTCATCTTTCGACTTTAGAGAGGACTTGAAGCGCTACACTACTTACATCATGCTCATTGAAGGGTTACAAAATCCCTCAAGAAAGCGCTGATAAGACCCAATAAACCCTCTCGTAAATGAGTATTGTATTGCAAAGAATAAAAATCAGTTAAACAGATTCAAAGCCCATAAGTTAGCTACCAACAAGCTTGCCAGAGTTTGTTTCAATTTCCACATTAAGTCAATGTTCTCTTGTTTCCGCTGGTGAGCGAAAGTGAATTATTTCATTCACAAAGCGATAACGAAGAAGTGAGAAATAATATACGACCTGGACTTACGTAAACCCCAGACCAACATAATTTAGCATTCATTTTGTTAATTGGGCCTCAACCAATCTAGTTCTGATGCGATTCGGTGTAAACTTTTGTCATCAACTGACAAAAAACAGATGTCACATGTATGTGAAACTGATAGCGTACATGTTAATTTGCCCATTCACAACAATATTATTTCTAAGAAGGAAAAGACAACAAACTTGACGAATCAGGGGATTTAAGACTCAGTGACTCACTTGAAGATGATAGGTCCACAGAGGAGACAGATGTCGTGGCCTAATTTGAAGAGACCGGCGATAAACACGCGCCACCCGAAGGTGGCGAAAAGCGCCTTCACCAGGCCTGCCCTTACTTTCCTTTTCTCCTGCTTCACTGCCTTTGGTGATTCTGTAGCCCCAGACTTATTCGGTGATGTGAACTGAGTAAGGTAGAGAAATTGGGATAATTAACCGAAGTAATCACAAAAAATGCATTAGCAAGTTCTGCATAAGGGTAGAATGTTCACCCAATCCTGAAACGCTTAAAAAAAATTAAAAGTTGACTCCACCATATAAGGTTACATTCACACCATCATTTACTTATGATGGCGCAGACTGTGCAATCCCACGACGGTGAAAGCTAGCGCTCCCCGTTATTCATATCGGATTGTGCTGTATTCGCCTCCAATTCGTTAGAAAAGGTAGCATCTTTCACAAATGATACTGATTACATGAATGAAACGAAGTCTAAGTCCCTGCCCTGTGAACAATCTACGTTCATTTAGATTTTCATTCTTATTACTCCTACTGAATATCAGCGTCAGGGGTATCGCATCACGCTGCCACTAAGGTAGCAGACGTTGCTACACTCTCCGAAAGAACTCGAAATGCGAATAGCGAAATTAAAGCTCTACACGACCGGCTGACAAAAGCATTACAGAGTGTTATCTCAATGAAAGCTTGACACGACAAAATGATGTCAATGAGAAGGGAATTAAACGGAGGTTGGTTATGACACTAGAGCTGATTAAAGAGCAACCTGGACCAATTTAATTAAACCTCGTATAAAGGGAAAAACAGTTCTGTTAACCGCCAGCGTAGGTAGCCGCTTTGTAAGCAAGCCCATAAAATTCTTTATCTTTGAGAGCGATTCGTTATTACTAACGAAATTATCTTTAGATAATGGGAAATGGGATAAGTATTTAACAGAATCTAAAATTCCCAAAAAAGCCTAATACCAGTTCCTATCCCCATTACAGTAGCGCCTTGAATAATGGTTTTAAGCTGTCACATATGAACGATTCACGTTCACTCATGCAAGTTTTAGTTCGCAAAAGGTTCTCATCAAAGCACCTCCGTTTTTCAACAAATAGAATTCATACAATAAAAAAAATTAAAAAAGACAGCAAAATCGAATCCCAAATCACCCTCTCTCAGCGGCAACAAAAGAGTTTTGGTTTGTTTTGCTGTGCATCTTGAAAAAGGAGCAATGAATCACTGGGCTTAGAGAAACGGAAAGTAGATGACTTCTCTCCTGACGCTGACTTGTTTTATTTATGCAGCGAAACTCGTCCAGTTCACTTCCAATACTCTATAGTTCTATCTCAGTCCAAAAAATGGGTGCTTGTTCCGTCTGAAAAATGGCTGTCTGAGGAGGCGATTCACCATGATTTGGAGATAAAAGTAGACAGAGTAAATATTTATGGGCTTGGGGACTCCAATTTACATTAGTCAAGTTGAAGGGTAGACTTTACTGCATCTACACCTACTTTTCTAATAAAAGATGATGAATGGGTATTTTTGTGGTTTACCTTCGCTGACTTTCTTGTTTAGCGATGAGCCTACATCCTAATGTATTACGGAATTGCAATTCAACTATGAATAGTCCATAAATATTACCTTAGGATAAAAAAGTACTGCAGCACCTAAATTCAAAGTTGGATCCATGTGCTTTGCTTTACCAGGACGACTTGTGATTGGTTTTTCCCTTATAGCAACACATTACCTCTCCAGATACAAAGTATCTGAATTTGGGTTTGGTTCATTGTAATTCATGCGGTTGTTTACTCACCTGCACCGCAAAACATACACATTCGTTAATCTACGTCTATAAGGCTCTTTGTTGCGTTTTCTACAATTTTTCTCTCCTTTCAAAGCACTTCGCATATCATCAGTTAAACTTGAGAGATATGGTTCGAGGTTGTCTACTTTTCAAAGAGGGTTTAATTCGGTTCCAGAGCTCTGTGGTTGTAAAAGCTTCTCGTTAAATTGGTTGTATAGCAAATGGAGGTGCGGCAGCGGAATACACCAGGCTGGTGATGAACTACTCGAAGGTAGATGAAATGCATTCCGTAGGACTTTTTGGTCTTCGTTAAGAAATAAAGTCATGCAAGAGCAGCATATCAAGAAGGACTTTCAATAGTGTTTTATGTTGGCAATTGAAAAATCGCTTAACACCTACATCAACCGAGGGCGAAGGGGGGAATTCGCGGAAGTCGCTTAGCTCCTGGGTCCCGTCCGCATACATTAGCATGTCAATGAACTTCACAACATTAATTTTCCACTTCTTTTAAATGATGCAAGCGAACTATTTGAGAATCGACCTTAAATGAATTTACGATGAGAAATAGTTCTCCTATTCTAGCAGCCGAACGTGTCATTGTTAGTCCAGACGATCCACCCCACAATTACACATTGTATGGGCCTATGAGACGTTTACCGGAGAAAGCTACTATTCACTGCTTTTGCTCGTCATGCGTTCCTCAAAAAAAGGAGGAGCCTTGAGGAAAGGAACGGCTTTTATTCAACTGGATGGCCTAAATCAATACCACTTGTTCATAAACGAAACCCTTTCGATGCAACTTTGTTCTGACACGATAGAAATGCATGTGATACACGACCAAGACAGTGTGATGATGATGGTACGGAGACAGCTACAGTTGGTGGAAGCGGACACGTCCGTCCCAAGCTACACTTATAATAAAAACGTTCGCATACGCATATATGTGTGCGTGTATCGTACTACCATTTAAAACGGTCTAATTGCTGAGAGGATGAGTTGGAAAATCGTTATCCAAAATTAACCGACTTCATCAACAAAAAAGTAGATTAAGCGTTTATCAAGGAGACAAGGAACTACTTTTAATTTTTTTAGTTTCAATTAATCCTACTATCTCATAATTCAATAAGCACAAATATTTTCAAATTCAGCAAGTTAGCTCGCCCTGGACAGCAGCGTCAACAACGAGGTGAAATAGACTGCTCCCGAATGGTTCAGCCTTACGTACAAGTCGTTCTAGGGTAAAGTTGCTTTCTGCACGTAGGGCACATACTGAGATACGTGTATAAAATTAAAAGTGAATAGAACTCTTAGCCCTGAAAATTAAAAATTTTCTTCTACACACTCAAAATCAACGGCTTTGACTTAAACGCCTTGTGTACAAGAAGCGTGATAGGGGACACTTACTTTTGTAGCGCAGGTTCAGAGTCTGATCCCCAGGCGAGAGTGCCATTTTCGATTACCGCTGCTACACCTGGGGTGTCTTCATGGCTCACTGCAACAGGATCCAGCTCCGTGTTTACCAGAAACTTGGTCACTCGACGCACCGACACGTAGGCCTTCAAGGGAGGGTGAGAGGAAGAAGTAAACTAATCCATTTTTCTGAAAGGACCATTCTTTGCACAAGGGTCACATTTGTTGTCACTGTCGCCTGCCGTGTTGGTTAACGGTGTCCGAACTGGCCAGCTATTACGATGGATGACAGGACAGCGGTGCCACGTTAGTATACTATTTCACACTTGTAAAATTGAAAGTCAATTTGACTTGAACGCTTCCCATACACTCGAACGAATTCCTGTTCCTACACTACCAAATTCTTTCTTTAAATATCATGAGATGTGTAGTCTCCTCATAAGAAAAGACTGAAAGGACTTCATCGGATGCTTCTTTGAGTAAAGTATCACTAAGTTGTGCAGTGTTCACCGTTTCTTTCCCCTATATGACAGCACTATTTGGCTCAAATGGACCAAATTTTATTTGAAAATGCGCGAAAAACCGGGAGCACCAATGGCGTCCAATGTGTTGGAAGCGGGGAAGGGACTAAGTAATATGTTAGCATTCGTCTCGAATGGGATGAAATGCTGCATAATCATTGGAATTACAGCCACCCAGACAATTAAAGTGTTGGGTCATACATAAAACATGCGTTTTATGATGGTGTTAGAGAGTAAGTGGAACGTTACATGCTATTTGCGCCAACACAGCAGACCGTTAGTACCATTTAAAAATAGTCGCTTTAAATTACTACTAGAAAGTAAATTAAAAAATTATTAATAAGACGTTCTGTGGACAGGTGCTACAAGTTCTAGACTGAGACATAGTCTAGGTAACGTTAGTCTTGATTGCGGTGGATATTAACTGCTTTCAGCTAGCACCTGCAGAAATATTGCGTAGAAAAAGATTACAAGTGTATGTTATTGTTATTAGCCAAATAATGGCGTGACAGCTAACATTACAGCTCTTTGTAAGGCCAAAAACTACCTGATGAGCACCATGTGAGAAGAATATTCCAGCTTTTGTGATTTTATATAAGCGCAAGTGTTTGAAAAATCTCGAGCTGTGGTATTTTACTTGAAAGCTTTAAAGTCGAGGTGTCACAGATGATTAGAACCGTTTAGTATGGGGACTTGTATGCAGAATCGAGGATGACCAGGAAACCTATCGTCGAATAGCGCTAAAGGGGGGAGGGCAAGTGATCTGTCGTGCACTTTTCGTAAGCAGAACCTGCAGCGGTAACATGAAATCATCTCTTCCAGCATTCGGTCCCAGTATGAGGAGGAAGTTTTATCTCCTAAAGGCGCCTCAAAGTTTGAAAGTGGCCATACTGATGCAACGGGTTCGGAGAGCTCCGTAAGTCAAACCGACTAGGGCTGTGACGGCTAAAAGTGATTTCATTCTCTCTCAAAAGAATAGACTTTCACCTTCATCCAATGGCAGAAAAAAAACAGTAAGTAGCGGATACAATTAATCAGAAAGTGAAATTAGGGCTTCGAAAGTTGAAGAAAACAACCCACTTTATCAAAATTCACTCCTCTTTCAACTGACGGTATTGACTTATTCGAATTGGAGCTGGATTCTAAAGACGTAGGCTCATTTTAGTAGTGTACATGGGAGTAAGGGGTTACGAAAGATTTACGTGCATCTAAACCTAACTAGCAAATTAGGAAAAAAATTGTCAAGTGCAAAGCCTGGATGCACGCTTAAAGAGAGGCCATTTCCTTCCACAATTGTGAATCTTTCGCAATTCCTCGTGGGTGTCGCTGTAGTCAGCTGGAGGTCAGAAGCACTCTGCATTCCTCACAACAATCGCTCTCCATTTTTGATGCCAAGGTATTGTGGTAACCGCTGCGTCAAATGCACCGTTATCGACTCAAAGGTACCATACGCGGATATTCAATAAACGTTGTGCTTAAACGATGCAGAAGATTCAAAAAAGACCACGAGTTTTTCGATAACTGCGCAAATCTGAGAGGCGTACTGGTAGGGATAAAACTGGGGATATGGGCGATATTATTACTGCGCTAGCTGCCAGCGACACACGTATGCAACACCAGGAACCCAGCACCACAAGTATTTGACATGACCTCCTTATTGGTTAACGATAGCTGGAGTTGTAGGGAAACACATGTAAAGACAAATTTTCTCAGTTTAAAACAATAAAACTGGTGTAAGATGTCCTTGGTCTCAAAACAATTGCACTTCTTCTAGTTTTTGAGCAGTACTTAAAGAGGAGAAATCGGTATTGCAAGCCTTAGTATCCCATTAGAGCAATTAAACATCTGGGCCATAACGGCAGGGTTTGTTTTGTGAACCTGGTAGAGAGAGTGCTAAGCTGGCTGTTTAATTAGCTTGGTATCACAGACATGAATCTGAGTCTTGAAGCTTCGTTTGATTCTACTAGACAAATTTCACGGTTATTCACGAGAAATCCCCTTTGAGTACCACTGCTGATCATCCTCCCCTTCAAGGTTTACTGATCGATGGAATATTAAAATTCATAGCGCTAGTTATGAACTACAAGTGGAGTGGTCCATAACCTCATATTTCAACTACCTGCGATTACCAAGCCTATGTGAAGCAGTGTAAAAGACTGTCCTTAGTAAATGTTCTCCCTCTTATAAGATCTGTAGATTTTAAAGCTCTCTGAAGCATGCCAGAAGAGGATGGATTCGTGAGTCGTTCCACGTGTGCAAAAGGCTTCGAGAGCAGGTTCATGGGAATTCTAAAAGATAGTCAACACCAACCATCCTATCAACAATTCCATCCGGAGCTAATTCTTTTGCTCTACTCCTAACATGACTCGAAGTATGAATCCGCATTTTGTCAACCAGAACAATGCTCCACAAAAGATTTCCACCTTTTTGACCATAGCCGATCTAGTAGCGGATGTACTTTGGAACGTCCACACTCATACACTTTTGCCAAGCACTCAAGCATACGCTTTGCTAAACTCAAGAGCATTGTCAATCGTAGTACTCGTATTCGAGTTTCCAAATCGGTTTCAAGAATTTTGCCATTCTTCGTAGTCCTGACTCCAGCTGACACAATATCCGTGGCACTATGCATCCATTGTCTCTCACAAAGAAAGAACCTATGAGAAGATAATCCTTTGCTCATTCTGAGCACACATACTGACAGAAGTGAATATGTGCACATAGCAGCCTCCATCTGTCCATAATCTTCAACGTGGGAAAGGACGCTATTCACTCATTTTCAGTGCAATCATTTACAAGTCGTTGACATCATTTATCCCAGAGCTGCAACTCCTATGCCGCCAAATTAGAAGTAGTTCCACGATATGCTCACATCTCCCTGGCCTCACCACGTCAAAAACAGAAGAATATTTGTGCATTTTTCAAAGATAAACATAAACAATTCAAAAATATGAAAATGAGTATAAGAAAAACACCTGCCAAATAGAGATTTGGTCAAGAGGTGTCCAATAAAAAGTATGTTCTGGTTTTCTGACTCCACCTATATTCCTACCGCTCGCCCTTATTTTTTACATTTACTCTGGAAAGTAATAGTTGAAAAGGCCATGATACGCCAACTCAAGGAGAGACTAACCTGAACGAGGTTTGAGAGGAGAGTGGGAAACATGAAGAGGGGAAAGCGGAGAATATTCAGCAGGGAGAGTGAAACGAAGGCTTTTTCAGCAGTAAAGAAGTTTTCCGGTGAGGATAGAATGTAAGTGGCGAAGGTTGCTAGGGCGACCTAGGAAAGGGATAGAGAGGAAATGTATTAAATGAAATTTTCTTTTAAAAACAATGCCGCTCCGCTTGAAGTAATGGGATAAAAAAGAAATTGACAAATAGAGTTTAACCTAACCAAGGGAATGCATCTACTCATGCCTTTGTGTAGGTAAAACAAAGGCGCTCGTAAAGAAGGGAGTTGCCATGACTAAGGCGTATCTGCCTCGGCCATGATAAACGAGCTATTTCTACCCCTTAAAAAATGAGCAGAAAAAGCGGCAGTAGACATTTCTCAGTCAAAAAATAATGGATACATTTGCGAGCACACTATGAATAGAAAGCCGGAAAAAGTCATCAACACGCATTATTTGCTCATCATTGCAATTTCGCGTGGTAGAGCGAAAAACCGGTTTTGCTTTTAAGCTTCTATGAGTTGGCCTCCACAAACGTGAAAGAGATCTACTGCTCGTTGATCGTCTTTTCTTGCCAAATGTGATCCATAACGCAGACGTGGATGGAATTAAAGGCACAGTGAAATTTAAACGAAAATTCAAGGGATCACTCGATGCCTTGTAGTTGATCTAAACTCAATCGGCATACTACGTGCACTTACGGCAGAAGGTCGTCCAGATTTACGCAAAAACCTCGCAAGCAAATATCATCAATGCTACTTGCCGAGAGACATCACTAAAATTGGATTCGAAAAACTTATTATCGGGATGAAAATCATTGCACCATAACAGTACAGTACTACCGAGGCCCTTTCAGTCTCTAGAACGGTTCAGTCTCCACGCCTGTGACATGCAGCTCTAACACCTCCTCCGGAAATTCATCATAATGTACACATAGACTCCAATGAATTAATGCATAAGTATCTAGTTACTGTTGCCCCCAGTGAAGGCGCAGAAGGGTCACAAAACCTCTGACAAGGAACCGCTTCTAATGCATGGGTGAAATTGCCCAAAAGAGCATATTGGAGCTACAATAAAGCCAAAAATATCATCAGGCTGGAAAATTAGGGAGGTGAAAATACCCTACAAACAAGACAGGTACCTGAGAAAGTGTACCAATCACCATTGTGTCACCATGTAACTATAAAATGAAGCGAAACTCCTGCGATAATGCTGCAATGTGTCGAACAATGTAGTTCAATTATAAATCAGTGCGTTTACTTAGATGACAGAAAGTGCGTCTACTGACTAGCTAGTGAATGGAATTGAGAACGCTCTCAGATATCCCCTTAAAGCCCATCTTCGCTGGAAGATTAAACACAAATTCAAGGATGTACAAATTTTCTTGGAGCAGTAGATGCTTCCTGAAGAGATTTCGCTAAAAAACCAAGTCAATAGATCGGACAGTGTTTTCTGCAAAAGAAGAGACGCCGACCAAACTGACCCGTGGTTATCGCTCCTCAAAAGACAGTTGCTTTAAAATACCGATAGCTAAGAGCCAAAGTCACAGTTCATGCAGTTCGAAACATCAATGAACAAGATTGTTCAGCGGATGATTTCACCTTCAAAAAACGAAATGACATTTTACTCATGAGACCAATTCTCATATATATGCATAGCTGCTCAGTCTAAAAAGGATGGGCTTATAAGTAAAATAACAAAGCAAAAGGCGAAAAAGGGAGAGATTTTGACAAAATATTGGCCAATGCATTCATGGTAATAAATATCACTAGCAGAAACGGTAGAGATGTTCTCAAAAGATAACTCATCGCTGAAAGCGTATCGACACGGGGAACGAAAGTTTAGACATTCTTTAATTTTCCACTTGAACAGAGAATGTTATCAGGAGAGCTGTCGCCCAAAAACTAATTTGCTTTTTTTAAAAAAACTTCTTTATCTGAATTTCCGTTCTTCAATTGCCAGTTTACGAAATGACATTCCAGCAGACGAATACATGCCTAAAAATGAGTCAGGTCTAATAAGCCGGTCTTATGTGCGAAAAGGCCTAAATACCTAATTAAGTTTGAAATGAGACTACGCCCTTCGACTATTTACCAATACAACGGCTGTCAACTGAAAAGGCTGGAAAAGGAAACTGTCGACTGGTGAGGATGCGAATGCTAATGAAGAAACTCCATTGTGGCAGACGACACCAATCTCGAGGATTCGGCAGCCACGCAAGAGACCTAAGCTGATAGGACCAGGCAAAACCCCCTGTACAATCAACGCTGTCCAATCCCCCAGAAGTCTAACAACTAAACGAGACGAAGATGAAGAGAATTTTGCCATGGTACTAACCAACGTGGGAATGCAGGTGAAGACGAAGGTGATGCTGCAATCGAGGTAGAGGAATTTTCTCAGGTATGAGAGCTCCTTTTCCCGAATCGATCCCACTTCCTGGATGAAGGAAGGTTCCCATGCGTAGAGCTTCAAGACCTTTAGAGTAAAAAACAGAGAAGATAGAAGTGGGCAGATACACTGTCACACTTTGAGTGTCCATAAAAATTCACCTCGAGGCCAATTGGTGTTGTTCGTTATTATGTGTATCGCTTCCTACTTAGTTTGGGGCTTTTGCTTTAAATTGCTTAGTGTTTTGAATTTTCTAAATTAAACGAGTTCAAAAAGTTGTATTACAGTAACGTAATCTGGAGCCAATACAACAAAGGCGCTTTCTCTGGCTTTATTCATTTCCGAACAAATTGCATCCGACTGACAACTCCCCCCAGTGGCGAGGGAGGATTGTGGGAGCCACATTTCCAGATGACTGCTATTGTGCCTACCTGTCTCAGGCTCAGGCACTTGATAAACACTTACTGAACCTAAGATGTAGGCAGATCCAACACTCAAATCCAGCTTTGTAGTTACATTTTAAACTGTCAAAAAAGTATCTTCGTATATCAATCCCTCAATTCTCCCTTCATTGGCTGTATTCGTGGTTGCAGTCAACTGGGAATTCGAAGTGCCCTACATCTGTCACAGCAGTGGCAACCTTTTGCAAAACTCTTTAAGCTAATCAAGGAAAACGGTGTCACAAGAGCATACAGCTCACTGTCACAACGTCTAGCATATGACAGAAAGCTGTTTCCCATTCGTGTAAAAGATTTTACTTAAGGGGGTGATGCCTTCTGCTAAAAAGTAAGTACGAACAGTTTGCCAGACAAAAGTAATCATGTGACACCGTCAGGTATAAAAACTCACTTCTCTTCAACATTGCGGGGAGACTATAAGTAGTTAAATGGGATATTCCAAATTTATGTTGCTTCATAGAGTGGTAATTATAATGGACTAAAAAATGCCAGATACCGAATAAATGAGGCCTAATTATACCGCACAAAGCGGTTACGTTATTCTTAGTAAAAAAGTCAACTCACTCTTATACCGTTGAGAATTTCACTGATCAGTTTGATGCGTTTGTCTGTGGTCTTCAATTGTTTTTCCTAGAGTCAATTAAAATATATGTGAATTTCTAGAAGGAGAAGCATTTGTCGTGTAGATCTCAAGCATTGGTTCACTCCCGACCATTAAGTGGGTAAAAATAAGTGGTGTAAAATTATTTCGGTAATTTTTGTATGATTCGAAGCACAGATGGAGATAAATGATTGCAAGTATTAATAAAGAATCAAAAGCGGCGAATATAAAGTCCAAATCCAATAACAAACTACGAGGTGTAAATGCTTTGAGGAATGAGGCCATAAGAGAAGTACCCAAATCCTTGTTTATCTAGATTAAGGAATGGCCAATAAAGATATGTAGAGCAAGCAATTGTAGGCAAAAAGTACGTAAGCTGAGGTCAGAATGTGTGGAGTGACTGGCCTGCCTTTATGATAACTCTTGTGTGGGAAAGATGTCACGAGAAGGTCAGAAGTCATCCACAAGTCGTGGAGTGCAATTAAGTAGTGGGGAGGGGGGGGGGGGGAGATGGGTATCTGTTGAACTTCTCTTCACGCCTACCGTCAAATCTCTACCTGACTTCTGGCTATAAACAATATTGTGTGGATCGGTTTCTACGGTTTGTACGTGAGCATACGTTGCGAAAAGAACTCCAAGGTATACTCATAAAATTACATAAAAGCGGAATTTTACATCTCAGAGCCATCAAAAGTTCACAGAAAGTAAAAGACAGAGATACCAGTTGTAGATTGCAGTGGGTGGACTAACTGTTCTCCGAAGAGTGAATAAATTGGTTAAATAAAAGTTTAAAACGCTGGAATGATGTTAAAAGCTGTTTAGCACCGGGCATGTCCAGAGTGAAAAAAATGGGCTGTTTATGAAAAAGTTTCCAATTTTGGCAGTTAATTTTGTTTGTTTTTGACAAAGTGGCGAACACGACGGTTTCAGTTGACATCATAAACCATGCCGGGCACTGTAATTATTGTGCATGTTGTATGGTGCCTGCTTATAAGCAAAAGTGAAACTAATGTAATACATTGTTTACTCGCTTTGGTTGCACTGGCGCTGAAGGGCACGTCTATTGTACTTCTGTCCAGCGACATGGTTTCCGGGCCATGCCGGTAGCTCCTCAGCCCTTCACGTCGATGGCATATATTCTGCCCTAGCACTTTGTCTTCTTTCGTCTTCAGTAAAGTTTCGAGGCGCTACACCAATCATTGTAGGTTTCAATGTTCGAAAGTACTTGTAAGAATCGAACAGTAAAACAGCATTTAAATCTTAAATTGCCGAAATTTTTGAAACAATTTTGACGTCTTAAAATTTATTTCCGGGGGTCGAATCCCTGACAACCCAGAACACCTCTCAATTTGTGCTTTCCGTTCATTCCTTCTTGGTTGGTCAATATGACGTGGAGACGCCGCATGTACCGGCATTCACTTTAATGTTGAGGCCATTCAAGAAGATGTAAATACATGAGGACGGTGACTGCTCGGCCATTCAGACTGCCGGCAGTAAGGACATCTAGTCTGGGAGTCTATCTCCTGGTTGAGAATGGCGACGCAGTTAATAAGATAAAATGGGCTCAAAAATGGGTAACGGTAAAAAACGAGCCTAACTGTTGGAAAAAGAAGGTACAAGAGGGGATAAGAGCAATCCGAATGAGTAGTCAGAATCCATCGTTAAGCCAGCATTCCTGAGGTCGAGGTAATCACGATAAGCATGGCAAATCGTTTCAGAGAGCACAAAATGCCAAGATTATATGAGTGCATTGTTATTCATTAAAACTGCAGTTTTAATATATTTTTCAAAAGCCGAGTCGAATTAAACTATCCCAGCAAAAATTGAACGATAGTCAAAAGAACGACAAAACATTAAAGCAGTTGAAGCGTTTGCAATCATGGACCACCCAGTGGAAGGAGCATTGGCTCAGCAGGATGAATATAAAACCACTTTTTTCCTACCTTATCCAAATTAAGTGGAGATGCTGACATAGAGATGTTAGCAACAAAATTTGAAGACAAATTCTGTCAAGGAATATTTGATGAAAAGTTGGGGGTCGAAATGGACTAATGAAAAATAGGATGGGAGGAATGATGACTCCTGCGATTTAAAAAGAAATAAAAGGGAGGAGTATTTGGTTACATTGCAGAATCTGAACGACACAACTATATACGCCCTAGCTGATGGGAAAGTGAGGAGAGGGAGAAGCAAACTACCTGCAGGACTTTGCTCTTCTTCGCCACCATGGTATTGATGGGTATCATGACGAGGAGGAGTGCGACTCCGGCAAGAACGGAGGGACCAAGCTCCTTCCAGAGCAGGTAGATTGCCACGGTGACTTGTAAGGGTCCCGACCAGAAGATGTGGAAGTTAAGCATGAGCATGAAGAATCGATACGCATCTAATGACATGAGATTGGTGATCTCACCCGTCGTTGACTCACAACGCGCTGCAGCGCTCAGCCGCAAGCTCTGTGAATAAGAAGACGCGAAATGAGGATACTAAAGGGACCGTTGAATAGCGGAAATATACCGCCCGGAAATAAGTCGGATAGACAATTTGACAATATCATAACCTCTTTTAAGTGGTAGAGGATTAAGAGAAGTGAAAGTGCTGCCTAATGTCCCTGGGTTATACAAGGCTTATTCGAGTAAAGCCGAGCCTCTCAGGTTTATCAAAGATGGAAAAGGAATAAACATCCCAATATGCGTGGGCTCAACTTGTCTCATGGCTTAACTAGTACTTGGGAAGCAGCTTCTGGGCGTAAAGTTCTTTTTTCAGTATGGTGTACCACCCTAAGCACCCTGTTTCACTATTTGGGAACCCACAGTGGGCTAACTTTCGGGAATTCCAGCTATTAATGAATCACAATTTGCCCCGTTCTCACAGAAAGACGCCTCGAGTAAGTTCATCACAGGATTAGGTGTTCCATGGCTGGGAGCGCCACGGCAACTACTGAAAACATCAGCAAGGTACAAGCGTACAGGCGGCCATCTTTGAAACGACACCACTTAAATTCCTCACTACGGCCGAGAACCCTTCTATGAGTTTGAAGCCTTCCGTGTGATTAGATACTTCCATATTCGGATTGTACCCCTTTGTTCATACAAAGGTGAATAATTACTAAGCTTTGTTTCACGCACTCACGTACCACCATTGTTGCTTGCCAAAGTGGACCAGTGGACTAGCCAACATATGCACCGGTTACTAGCACTAACGCAGACGCCGCTGACCACTGAGTATGGTATTAGCATGATAAATGCTAATTTTATGGGAAAACATCGTTAAGACGATAAGCTACTTCTGGTACGGCACTGTTGAGACATTTTAGAGGGGAAAAGATGTAACACTTGAGGACCGATTAAAGGCAATATTGAAGATGGTACCACACTTCTCCTTTACCTAACTCACAGCAAATCCCCAAAATCTTGCAGTATTTTTTTTAAATTGTCGGATTCGAATTGGCTGAGAAGAAAACAACTGCAATGTCAAGTGAGCAATTGAATGGATGGGAATAGAGAGGTAATTCAATTCGTTTCAAGCCAGCCAATTCATCTCATTATAGTATGAGATTTTACTACGTCACCACGTGACGCAATAAATGTACAGGAAGGGCGCATGGTTAGCACAACAATAGAAATTACACTTGACTCACTGTTCCTTTAATCTAAGTGAAGGTAGACAATTGAGACGGTTCCATTAAAAGATCTTTTTCTCAACTAAAGGGACGTCACTAACCAGCAATATGCAGTAGTTAAGACCCGGGGATAGATCTGGAACACGCTCTTGGGAATCAATGACCTTAGACAAGCTACTGTTAAGATATGTTTTGCGTCGAACCTGGGAAATTACTTCCCCCGTACTATTTAAACTCTTTAAACCACGGAATGGTAGAATGCAAATTGCTGCACCAAAAAAATCGCATCATTGAGGATTCAATTCATTGACGCTAGAAAAATAAAATTAACGTTTTAAAAGTGCTGTTCAGAGTACCTGTGAGGTTTTAAAGAAGAGTGGTCAATTTTACGTTCACACTCCTAATGAACGCTAATTAATGCCGAAACACGCCCTACCAAAATTAGTAGTATCTAGGCAAATGCGAAAATGAGTGAAATGGATCACCTTGCGTGCTTGGAGGATGATGTGGTGGAAGAAGACTGGACGCCGCTCTCAATTACCATTCTTTGTGGACTGGACAAAAAAACTGCATTTTTGTAAAGAACATTCTTTAACACATTTGCTCCCAATCTCAGAGGAAGAGCGACAGCCACAGCCCAGGCGGCTCATTGTTCCAATTTGACATTAATTGGTATTGGTGTTTGGATCTACCCAACGCAAATATCCTCAAACCAAGAATATCTTACATCTAATTTTATTGTACTGAACTCAACCTATCTGTCTGCAAAGCGATGTAGTCTTAATAGTTATCATAAAATTTATAAATAGCACATGCCTCATAACTGTGATAAGAAAATCGGGGCGTCACAAATACGTGACACTGTTGCGTAACCGTTAATCGCCAATCCGGGATTAACGATGAGAGGGCAGTGAATGGAGTAGGAAAGTGGGAGAAACGGAGGAATAAATTGAGCAAATTCCAAATTCTACATTCCAATAGGTAAAAAATAACTTATAATCGAGATTCAAAGGAAATCAGGGCCATAATTTCTTCGCAAAAAGACTTCCTAGCTGGATTTTTTCGTACAATCACTTGGCAATGCCCAAATTTCCCGGAGAATTTTCACGCAAAATAAAAACACTTTGATTGTGAAGAAACCAAATGAATTGGCATTCAAAATCCCTTAAATCCATTGCCTACGATTTTGCACAGGTCAAGCTGGTAGCAATTCGATGCACCACATTCTAATTCATTTCTCGGTAGCAGGTCAACTCTAATGCAGATTAGAGTGAGGAAGCCATTAATTGGTCAGTGAATGGAAAAAGCATACAATTTGTTTAATTTCCGAGTTGAAAAGTCCAAAGTCTCGAATCGCTCATTTTAACTTCTTAGGCGCTTCTCATCTAAGAAATTTTTTATTATGAAATAATTTCCAAGGATTTCTTTTTGCCATAAAAGTAATGCACTATTCTGGATGGCTTAAAACAAGCACCAAGGAAGTAGAATAAATAAATCCGTCCGGGTAAATGACGTTGACTTTGATTACGAAATGCCACGTGGTAGGGAAGAGACCTGAACCAAGACACAGACAATTAGTGAACTGGTAACCAAACTAGAGACGGATATAATGATTTCACTGGTTGTTTATTTAAAATGAATTGACAAAGGCTATGCACGCCAATAGCTCTCTACATTTGGTAGTGAAAAAAAGGGGTCTGAGAGGCATATCATTGAGGAAACTCCCAGCGATTCATGGTAAAGAACCAGTACTTCGTTGCAAATGTGACTCAATTTGATACTCAACAAACGGTAGAAAGCACAATTGTACCTCCGATGAAAAATTATTATGGTTTAAACAATTTCAAAAGTGATTTACCACTAGTTAAATTGATTCCTACACCGCCTTTATTGGGAGAAGACAGTAATAGGAGAAACTTTTGATTGAAGGTCACACACCTAATATTCCATGAACAGGTATTAGTCTTTGGTATAATCTTTAAGAGACCGAACAGTTCAACTATATTGCATTAATCTAAGTCCAACAGTCTTATTGAGAAGTGGGGGAAAGCTCAAGTAAGGAGAAGTGGATTCCAACCGTTTAGCCAAGCTTTGTTTCAAGCCCTCCATCTAGTCTTTATGAAATCTTTAAAGGGCACAACGTTGCCTTTACCAACGCTGAAAGTCATCCACAAATCAAACTACAATATTCAAAAAATATCTTCCACATAATCGGAAGGTGAAGTACAGACCGCCCGAGACGTTCAGTAACAAAGTGCTTGAGTGGTGATGGTAAACATTTCAACCAAATTCAATTGCAATGGCTGATTTCCATCTTTAACAGCAACTAATCATGAAAGAGATCTAAGTAGATCCACTTGAGAACACGTGTGAAATGAGGATCAACATGATTACTCATTAATTCAGCAACATTAGACTATTTGAAACAGTCAAAAAATGTAAGATATAAAACTTGATTTGCTGTAATAGCTATATAAAGAGATAACCATTAAGAGTAATCTCAACGAAGACTCCCACGTTTTTGCAAAGCAAAGAAATGCCAATGAAGAAACCATTATACCAACTTGCGGTCTAATAAGTCAACCCGCTACCCATTCCGAATCAAGAAATTCATATAAAATGCCTAAAAATTGGGATTTTCCCAACAATTTCTAAGCGAAACATAGAGGAAGAAAGAGTCTAACCCTCACCTTTCGATAGACAGCGGAGATGACGACAGTGCGCATATCCATGCCGACAAGAGTCTGCTTGCGAAAGTACTGATGCAACATGAGAGATTGTATAAAGGCGGTGAGGAACATCAAGAAGGCGTATACGTAGCCATGCCACATTGGTTCCGTCGATTCCGGCTGCAGGAAGTTCAGCAAGCGTCTGCAAGTAGACAGATAGTTGAGAAAATCCAGTAAGAATCAAACCGGTCCGAGACAGACGAATAGATGAGGAATGAGTAGACAAGGTAAAGATGGATGAAGAATAGAAATAGTGAATGGATAGATGAGAGTGGATGCGGGTAGAGATTTGAAGTAGAGAGATTAAGCAGAGGTGGATGGATGAAGGGTATATGAAATATAAACAGGTGGGCAAGTGAACCAGGGAAGACGAATTAATCGGGGGTAATAGGATCGAAGATAGATAGGCGAGTGGATAAATCGCGAACCCGTAAATAACAACTAGATGAATCTGACGAAGATAGACAGATAGATCAAGAAAGGATTGTTGGATGCGGGATGAAAGGGTTACAAAAATGGATGATTTGGTGATGAACAAAATCAACGTATATGGAGGAAGGGTGGAAGAGTTAGCGTGTCACGTCAACTCACACGTAACGGATAGATCTATAATAGGTGTTCGTCATCGGTCAATGGATAAGCAAATGGAGGACCTCTTGAAAGTTTATGTCGATATTTAGTAAAAGTAAAGATGTAAAAGAATCATTTCCAATGCAAAGCCGGCGAAAGATTCGATAGATTAGTCGAAATTAGCATCAATCCATAGATCTTAGCAATAGCCTTCCAGAGTACTTTATAAATGTTTTGTTTAAAAGTGACCCAAATAAGCAGTCGGAAAAAATGCCTTCAAATAACATTTTGGATATCAAACAAAATTGCGATTGAATGTCGGTTCAAGACTATTCCTGCTGAGCATTACAACTTTATTTAATCAAAAATTCTTCTTCACCAGCACAGCTGCCAAGATAGGTCCTTTCTTGAGTGAAACGGTAAGATAACGAGTGCTCTTGCGCTACGACCAAAAGGAAAACCCCGGCTTCGCAATCGAGGTGTATACCTTGATGATGAAATATGAAAAAGACACGAATATCATGCTACTGTTTAGCAAAATAACTTAAGGATTTCATTTGATGAACGCAACTTTGTAGAAAGACCAGCATGTCTACATCGACAAAACTAGATGGGAGCATCAGGTAAGGCACTGCTCACTAGGGTTCCAAAGACTGCTTCTATGGTTACATATTAGACAGCAGTGATAGTGGCAGTAATTAAACCAAACTTATATCACTTTTCCGATTTAGGAGCACAAAACACCAAGTGTTTAGCGAAAGATTGTATTTAAAGCACAATGATGTTTGAAAGAAAGTGTTTGCTTTCTGACGACCAGTGAGCCTTGATTAGCAATAGGGCAAGCTATTCAAGATTCCGAATTGACCAGAAAATAAGTTCAGTTAACTTGTCTTGTAAGGACTTAGAGTAGCCACAATGATTCAAAAAGGTGTAAATTTGGCATATTTTAAATTTTCCTCTAAATTTATCCGCTTCAACTGATTCTCCACCTTAGAAATTGAAAAGAGCCTTTGAGGTGTTAACATCTAGCAATCAACTTTAAAGGTATCAATTTAATTTGCTAGGGTGTCAACTATTAACAATATCATCCAATGACGTTTGAAATGGAGTGCCGATATGAAACAATACTAGTTTACAACCCCCTTCATTTATCGACCTAACGTAGCACTGCCCTTCCAGAAAAATCCAATCCCAAAAGGATCGAGCAATATTTTCCCCAGGAAAATAAGTAGCAGAACGAGCTGTAGGCTTATTTTCACCAGATCTGCTCTCACAATTCTTAGAGGACGCGTCTTCACACCATGGCGTTCTGCTGATCAGCCCTTATGTATAAAGATATGATACGGGTCATACCAGACCCAGATGTCTTTTGACATCTCCGAGGATGAATTTGAAACCACAAATTTTCTTATTAACTAAGGACAGAACCACATTTTTTCATAAGTATGCTTTGAGTTCTAGAAAAACAAATGACTCCTTACAATTACCACATTGCCAATGCGAACCCAGACAAGGGGAAGTGCGGCACTGCGTGATCAAATGTCTCTCTAGCAGACGTTCAGACTGGGCCCTAAATCAAAACTAACAAAGTGCACACAAATCGTTCAACCCGTCTGAGTTTAAGAGACTTGATGAACTCACTTCTCCCGCCCCCCACCCCCTCCTCCAACCCAATGATAGTCATGAGAGCAATCAGTTTCTACCGCTGGGGTGGGGTGAAGGGGTGTCCCATTCTTTCCGCCGAAGAAGGAACATCATGGGGCAAGGCGACAAATACATAAATCATTATTGACCGTAAAAGGTGAAAGCCCTTAACGTGGGAGATACCAAGCGGTCTTTATATTACCACGCTGGAGTTAACCCCTTGCTGTGGAATGAAGTTAACGATGTACGAAGTGTTCGGCATTCCCATAATACTGTAGATGAGAGGTTTGGTAATAATTGGTTTTGTTTAAATGTGTTACATCCGCCTACTTCTGACATGTTGACTGCTCTTCGTACAAGTTGTCCTCCTGGTGCGAAGAGGCCTGCAAAACTCGTACAGAGATTGTGCCGAATTCTGATGTTCCATTTTACGCTGCCTTTGTTGACATGTTGGGGGTAAAATTAGTGCAGAAAAACACCGCGTATGCTTCTGACGCCACTTTGGTGCCATGACTTTGTATTTATGTCAATCCTGTAAACAGCCTTTAGAAGGTTCTGTTCCGACTAATGGACTTTACAAACTCGTCAGAAGACATAGGAGTTAGGAGTTCAACGCCGTCGACAAACGGGTTCAGTGTAAAGAGCCCTCTTCTCGTCAAGTCACCAGCGTGGACTACATAGACGCGAGTCTAAAGTGCTCCAAATGTGCGTTCGGGAGGCCATGATGAATGAAAAGAGAATTCAAAAGTTAATATGTGAAAACCAACAAATAGGAAAGTAAGGACTTGTGTAAAATACAAATGCCACTGTTGCATCAATCCACATCCAGATACAGTGCAGGATGTGTGCCAAGTGGGGAGCCAGGGGAATGCCTGATCATAAGAAGGCAAAATTGTAATATGAACATGTAGAGAAATAGAAGCACTTGGTTTTGACGTAAACGTAGGTAGCCAGAGTTCGGCCTCCTCGATCGTTCCTTGCGCGAAATAAAGCAGGCTTCTGATATGCAACAGAATTTACTCCGGAGCGTATAAACACATAATTTGCTAGATAAAAGCTTTTTCCGTAGCATATGCTATCCCAAACAGGGAGCTGAAAATAACTGGAAGCTAAGAGCTGGAAGCGTCTTGGCTGCTAAGAGCTCAACCAGCTCCAACAACAGACACATTGATCCCTCGCCTTTAGTTTCATTTCACCCGCCCTCAGTAGGCTTGGTCTGAATTAGGGCCATTTTATTCCATCATAATAGGGTCAAATTAACAGTTTGACTCAACCAATTCATCTAATCATGTCTTGTAGAACTATGTGCTACATTAAGTGGAAAATAGTTAATATTCGCTATGGAAGTGTCAATTTTGGCCTCAAAAGGTCATCATGTGGTGATGTGGAGAAAACGCAGATCCGATTCTACAATTGAATCCGCATGATACTTAGAGGGTGGACAAACATAGCCCTTATGTTATTGAAGCTCAATGTTTATGGCAGGAAAGCCAACAAATTGTAACCAAAGCGGATCACATAGGTGATGAAATCATAAATGGACCCGCTGATGTTATGAGACACCGATTTCCCTATTAGCAAAACCTTACATTTAAAACTGAAATTCCTCAAGACTACCGCAGTCAATATTACGACCTTTGATATAAAATGAAGGGACACTGAAAACCGTTTTATACTTACTGTTGCAAGGGAAAAGCCTGAAAAAGAGACACTTCGTATCTGAAGGGGTCATGTGTCACAATGAAGGGAAAACAACTCAGTCACCCAGCTCCTAATTCAGATTGGCGTGACACCAGTGTGATGAGCGGCTACAGCCAGTAGACGACATCTGAACAGCAACTAAAGCATCTTTTTAAAAAGAATAAAGTAAATTCCTCTAATTGGGGGAAGAGGGAAGAAAGGAGGTGGAATCACATGTATATATGTAAAAGGAATCTCTCAAAGCCACTTAAGTAGTTCCTTCGCAGACGAAAAAAGAGGAATGCAATAAGAAGCTAGACAACGGATCTAACCGATAAGACAAATGGTTGATGCCTCGTTGCAAAATAAGAGGTGAATAACTACTTTCCAGGCAGAGATATGCATCAAGTAGTCAATGAAACAGCACACCTCATAAGTGAACCCTTGTAAAATGACGGTTCTACACATCAAGTTCAACAAGTTAACTGGATAGTTTTAATTCGCCCTTTCCAACTTTTACCTGAAAGCGAACCATATTTCCTTACAAAAATAAGTTCATTTTACGGTACAAGCGGCGAAAGGGCCACACCTCGGCTATTCAATCAAGACAGAGTGACAAGATGAAGAAGCTAATTGGACAGGTGGAGGATGCCATCGCCTGTTTCTCTTTTGACTGAGCAAAACATAAGAGAATGAGCTCCTCTATTGAGGCGGTACCGATAATTCTAAAATAGCCTTTAATTCCAAAACTGCAGGATCAGTTTTAGTCCATTCAGCCTTTCCCTTGTAGACGAAACATCATACAAATGAGGCAGTCTAGAAACTTGACAGTCCAAATTCATCAATTCATCACCAAGGCGATAAAAAGTATTCATTTCTTAAAAAGAAAAAAAGGGATTACTGTCCACATAGAAACGTACCAGACAATATTAAAAGAAGGGTTTTTACTTTAACTGACTCCTTTAGATAGGCCCCTCTACAAGAATTAAGTGTGGTGAACCTCTAGCCATTGAATTAAGCTAACAATCCGAAAGCAAAATTTTTAAACTTGATTGGAAGCCTAATCAGAACAAGATTATAGTTTGATTCAGCATTGCCAAAGAAAATGGCTCTTTCTTTTCACTGAGTCTTCCTCGTAAGTAGGTCCAACAGATTGGACCACATTCTTAATGCAGTAGAGTCAGCCTCCGCAAAAATCAGTGAATTCTTTCCAAGGTTCTCATGCACATTTTAATGGTGAAGGAGAGTAAATTGTTGCACCAGAAACAAAACGCGCACCTGTAAACGTTTCCTTTCGGGTCGCATAACTTGAACACCTTGACCTGCTCTCTATTTGTAAAATCATCAATTTTCATACGTAGTAATCACCATCAAAAACAGACACATCAAAATCCACCGCAATACTTTGAGTGTTTTTTTTTTAATTATTCGTTCCAATTTCCCGGGCACTTAGTGTCTCACTTTTGCCCCTCCACTGGGCCGCATGGCCTTCGGAGCATGCCGGTAGCTCCCACCTCTAGCCCTCCTGTAGGGCGATAGTACATATTCTCCCCTAGTGTTATGTCATCTTTCGACTTTAGAGAGGACTTGAAGCGCTACACTACTTACATCATGCTCATTGAAGGGTTACAAAATCCCTCAAGAAAGCGCTGATAAGACCCAATAAACCCTCTCGTAAATGAGTATTGTATTGCAAAGAATAAAAATCAGTTAAACAGATTCAAAGCCCATAAGTTAGCTACCAACAAGCTTGCCAGAGTTTGTTTCAATTTCCACATTAAGTCAATGTTCTCTTGTTTCCGCTGGTGAGCGAAAGTGAATTATTTCATTCACAAAGCGATAACGAAGAAGTGAGAAATAATATACGACCTGGACTTACGTAAACCCCAGACCAACATAATTTAGCATTCATTTTGTTAATTGGGCCTCAACCAATCTAGTTCTGATGCGATTCGGTGTAAACTTTTGTCATCAACTGACAAAAAACAGATGTCACATGTATGTGAAACTGATAGCGTACATGTTAATTTGCCCATTCACAACAATATTATTTCTAAGAAGGAAAAGACAACAAACTTGACGAATCAGGGGATTTAAGACTCAGTGACTCACTTGAAGATGATAGGTCCACAGAGGAGACAGATGTCGTGGCCTAATTTGAAGAGACCGGCGATAAACACGCGCCACCCGAAGGTGGCGAAAAGCGCCTTCACCAGGCCTGCCCTTACTTTCCTTTTCTCCTGCTTCACTGCCTTTGGTGATTCTGTAGCCCCAGACTTATTCGGTGATGTGAACTGAGTAAGGTAGAGAAATTGGGATAATTAACCGAAGTAATCACAAAAAATGCATTAGCAAGTTCTGCATAAGGGTAGAATGTTCACCCAATCCTGAAACGCTTAAAAAAAATTAAAAGTTGACTCCACCATATAAGGTTACATTCACACCATCATTTACTTATGATGGCGCAGACTGTGCAATCCCACGACGGTGAAAGCTAGCGCTCCCCGTTATTCATATCGGATTGTGCTGTATTCGCCTCCAATTCGTTAGAAAAGGTAGCATCTTTCACAAATGATACTGATTACATGAATGAAACGAAGTCTAAGTCCCTGCCCTGTGAACAATCTACGTTCATTTAGATTTTCATTCTTATTACTCCTACTGAATATCAGCGTCAGGGGTATCGCATCACGCTGCCACTAAGGTAGCAGACGTTGCTACACTCTCCGAAAGAACTCGAAATGCGAATAGCGAAATTAAAGCTCTACACGACCGGC